GAATTTATAACTGTTTCAGATGGAATCTAAGTTTTTATAAAAAGAGAGATTTTCGATAAGGAAAGGCTTGATATTAAAATATATAATTCAGAAAATTCTGAGTTTAAATCCATGATTGGTTTCAGCCTGTCTTTTCTTGTCGGAGTGTACCTGATCATGTAAATGATGACTGGTTCAGCCTGGAGAAGAGAAGGCATTGGAAAGACCTCATTGTGGCCTTTCACTGCTTAAAGGAGCTTAAAAGGAGCTTAAACAGGAGGGAGAACAACTTTTTGCAAGGTCTGATAGTGATAGGACTAGGGGAATGGTTTTAAAGTAAAAGAGGGGAGAATTAGGTTAGTTGTTAGGAGGAAATCTTTTACTCGGGGTGTTGAGGCACTGGCACATGTTACCCAGAGAAGTTTTGGATGCTCCATCCGTGGAGGTGTTAGATAGAATGGGGTCCTGGGCAGCCTTGTCTGGTGGGTGGCATCCCTACGTGTGGCAGAAATGTTGGAACCAGATGGTTTTTAAGACCCCTTCCAACACAAGCCATTCTATGCTTCTGCAATCTTACTACATACACCTTGCTGCTTTTTCCAGCAGAACAGAGAAAGATAGCTAGCTTTTCACAACCTTTATTATCTTTGAAATGAACTACACAAATTTAGAATAGATTTTACAGAAGGTAAAATGTAGTTCTCATCAAGTGATATGAATTATGATAATTGCATTTCTCAAGGGTAATTGTAAATGCAATTGCTACAAAAATTCGTCAGAATATACTGTAGTGCCTTCATTCATAGGCTATAAGGAAACATGTTAATAACTTCTTAATAGCATGGTTCCCTGTGCTATTTAATATGTTTACATATATTCTCACTTTTTCAGCTACTAACTGTGCTAACTGATTTATACAGGACCAGATCATCTGCTGAGCTAAGTCAGGGTAGCTTCGCTAGTTTCTTGGGTTGCAAAATGTCCTGTGTGCTTCTGTAAGAAAGGTTACTTTAGAGCCACACTTGACACAGTTTGATGTGATTAATATCATGAATCTCCTTCCATTTATTTTTATTTTAGGTTCTAAATCTTTTGGTAACAGGGTATCATAAAGGCTTACATTTTTGATAGCTAAGACCTTGGACTTTGGTCTGTCTTTGTCATAATGGTCAGTGCAATCCTTTCCCTGTTGGGAAAGGAGTAGGCCCTTACTGGGCCTTGTACAGACAGCACTGTATTCTTACCTGAGAGATTTCTTGTATTTGTTTCCCTACTGCTTTGTGTCAAAAAGCACATTACTACCAATTCACTTATACACTTCTCAAGGTGTGCTTGTACATTCTCAAGGCACAGATATCAGTAGGGAAGCAGTGATAAGCTAGAACCCAAATGTGCAAGATTGATTCTAATGGTTTCCTTTCTAATTGTTTTCTTTTTTTTTATTGCTTCTCTGAATCTGGCTGTCTGAACATTTACGTTCCAGGATGAACCAACTACTGGAATGGACCCTCAGTCCCGGCGCCTCCTATGGGATTCTATTGTCAGCGTGCTCAGAGATGGACGAGCTGTAGTTCTAACTTCACACAGGTATAGAGTTGGAATTCAGAAACCCAGGGCAGCTGACAAGTCTGCTGGCTTCTATGTCAAATATTTGTTCTCTGTTTTGAAAGTATGGAAGAATGTGAAGCTCTCTGTACTCGTCTGGCCATCATGGTAAAAGGTACCTTCAAATGTCTGGGCACAATTCAGCAGCTAAAATACAAGTAAGTTGAATATATTGTAGTGTTTTTAATGGGTAAACCTAATATGTATGGCATGAACCATTCTTAATAGAGCAAACCAATCTGAAGAGCTGTTGTTTGAACAGACCCATTTCTGGGTACAATTCTGCAGTATTTTAGATGATTTAGGCAGATCTCATTTCAACTCCATTATGCTACAGGTCACTTCTGTAAGGAAAATATAGAGCTTCTTACCAAGCTAGATCTTAGGCATTATCTTTCAGATATTGGTAATGTTTTCATACCTGCTGAAAATGATTTTTTCACTGAATTATGAAATGAACTTTTCATCTAATTTCCAAATCCGTACATGCTTCACAGGTTTGGAGATGGCTATATTGTCACACTGAAAATCAAGGCTCCTAAGACTGGGCTGCCTCCAGATCCAAGTCGTGCTGAACAGTTCATACGTATAAACTTTCCAGGGAGTTTACAGAGAGAGAAACACTACAACATGCTGCAGTATCAAATTTGCTCCTCTTCTCTGGCTAAGATTTTTCGGTTAATAATCTCCAATAAGGAAAACTTGTATATTGAAGAATATTCTGTCTCTCAAACAACATTAGATCAGGTGAGTAAAAAATAAATCATCCACGAGAAAGCCTATTAGGCAGTGCAATGACAGTGTATACAAACAACTGAAGGATCAAACTGCTTAGAGTAGAAAATTGTCTTGAACCTCTTTCACAGACAAAATTCCCAGGCCCCTCATCAAGGAGGATGGATCAGATAAGAAATCTGTAAATAAATCCCTTTGTGAATTAGGTGCCAATTGAAAGCTGCTGAGCCAGCATTTCCCAGGTGCCAGAGTTAACGCAAATCCATTCTGTCAGGAGCAGCAGCCTGAGGAAGATTAGCTAGTTAGACTAAGGCTTGCTGAACTGGAAATGATCTAATATTTCTTTCAATTTTATTTTGTATAAGAGATTTGGGTTGTGTTGTGTCTGAGATGCTGATAGAGATATGGCGGTATTTAGGTAAACACTTTTTTCTCTCTGTTGCACATTACTATACAAAAGCAATTAGATACATAGAGCCTGAAAAATCCACTGGGACTCTTGGCAATACCCCGTCAATCTCTAAAGGATATTTGCCCCATCACCTGCTTTCCTGAGTAGCTAATGATCCACATAGACGAAGCTAGCATTGGTGAGGGTACTAGAGAGACATTTTGGCTGCCTTACAGCTTCCTACTGATCTACTGTCCCCCCCTTCCTCATCACTGCCAAGCTCAATTATATTGTACGAGGCCACGTAAACCATCTCCTGCTGAAGACAAAATAGGATCTTAGTTGCAACTCACTGCATCCAAAGAAAGGAAGTTGCAAGGAAGTTTATCAAAATAAAGGAGAAATGAATGATCCCTGCTGATGCCCTGTGTCTCAGTTCTCAGTACATATTTTTGGATTCCCCTTTCCCTCTCTTCCCTGCAGAGGCCAAGAAGATACAAATGTATAGAGACATTCTACTAACTAATATCAGTTGATGTCATTTTCTTCTTTCTTCACGTAGGTTTTTGTGAACTTTGCTAAGCAGCAGATGGAGGATGAGGAAATTCCTTTGCATCCTCGTGCGGCTGGATCCAACCGAGAAACAAAGGTGTCTCCTGCTTCACAGCAGCAGGCAGTTGCATAGACTATTCCTACAGTCACTAGCATTTAGTGTGCCATACCAGAAGAGTGAAAAGGTAAAAGAAAGGCTGCCATGCTCAGTATTATTCTGACTTTCTGTAACTTTCTGAGAAGTGTGCTTATAAGTCCCTAGCAATGGCAAACTTCTGCTACCCTACCAAGAACGCTACATACAACACACGCTGAAAGCATCTAAAGAAAAGCTGAAAGCATGTAAAGAAATGCAGGTATTTGTTCTAGAAAAAAAATCTTTCTCTAATGTAAAGTTAATTATAAGATAAAAGAAGAGAAGCCTCATTTCTCCCTGTTGACATGTAAAGAGAATTAAAAACAGTCTCTCCAGCCAGTCCTTTCCAGCCAGTAGGATTTTCTTGGTTAACTCTTATTTTTCATTCATGCCAGTGGAAACAAACTTGTCTCAACAAGAATGGGAAGAAGTCATTCCCATCTCAGATCAAGGCAAGAAATTTAGCAGAAAAATCTTAGTGAAAATGACCTAATACTCACTGATCTTCAAGTTCAGAAATGGAAGCAGAGTATCACATTGGGATTTAAACAAAATAATACGTCTAAACCAGCCAAACAAGACCAAACTTTTCTTCTTTCCTATGACTTGGACCTTAAGTGGGTGTAAAGTATGAATAGATTGTGATTTCTCCATGCTCAGAAAGTTTCAGCCTGCTTGTACCCCATTTTGGGAAATCATTTGACATTTAACTCTTTTCTCTGGTTTACCAGTGAACTAGTATAAAATAACAGTATTGCAAACAGATTCACAATTATGTATTGCTTCACTTCTCCAAGAAATGATTTCATTAAAAAAAAAAAACTCCAACACATGCTATACAGAAATAAAAGGTGGGTCACGTATTTTGCTTTTTTAGTTTTTTGTTCTATTTATATAGATCTTATTTGATGCAAAGACATTCTTCCTTTGTACTTCACAAATAATTATGAAATTTTGGCAACCAGCTGTAATCTTCCTCTTTTGCCATAGTTATTTCAGTTGAATTCAAAACATAGGCTAGAATTTATTGTAGATTTCACCCTTACAAACAGTTGCAAAATCTTTCTATACATCCATTATAATAAATAAATTAATCATGAAACAAAACGGTATCTACACATTTTCTTCATATTCTGAAACAGTTTCTTCAAAATAATATTCAGATATATTGCAGTCATAATTTTATATATATATTTTACCAGATTTGCACAAAACCCAACTAAATCCCACTGAACATCCTGTGAAAAAGAAAACACAGGAAGTTCAAAATGTAGAGGATTTTTCTCCCTGGCTCTGAAAATAGGAAGGGAGCTACCATTCTGAATGTTATCAGTCACTTTATGTATTCACAAAGTACACTGAAATTATTCAGAGAATTCTGACAAAAAATACAAGGTTAAATGTCCTGTAGTATCTTTTAGAATATATTAAGGATTTGTTATACGAAACAGGCCAAATATCATGGATACAGCATAGATCAGATACTGTGAACCTTATTTATCAGTATGCAATTTACTAATTAAAAATATTAAAAAAAAAAAAACAGAATAAACACCCTCCAAAAAAAAAAATAATATATATATATATTTATATATTCACAGGATGGATGTTATATCCACAAATTCTTCTTTCTTTAGATCCAATTTGCAAATTATAGCTTAGACCCAAAGCAGGTATTTGAGAGACTGCCTAATTCTTTATTCCAGGAGCCATTCATATTCTTTGGTAATGTTGTTTGTCACAAAGTACCTGCCTCCAGGCAGAACACTCTCTTTTTCAAGTCAAAAAAGGCAAAACATGCAACTGTCTTCAGGCCTGCTGGCCATACTGTATGAGTTGAGCTTTCTTGTAGTTGGCTGCTATGTCCTCATTCCAATGTACTTATGTCACAGTCTTGCAGAATGCCACTACTAAATTTGGAGCTGCTTTTCAGAACAAGCTTATCAGTATCTCTGATGTATCAATCTAAATGGACTAGTGCAGGAAAATCTCAGTCAACCAGGATGCAGTGAACTATAGGGGCTTTTGGCTACCAGCTCTGCAATGAAGCCTTATTTTTTGAAGGTGCTTCTGAATTGAAGAATTCTTGAATATAAGGAAGTATAGTTTCTCTCAGCAGTGGAGATTTAGCGTACACCAGAATCATTTCAATTAATTCACTTATTTGGCAGGAGATTTATGAATAAAAAAATCCATGAGCTTTTTCTTCTTCAAGTTCTATGCAATCTTGAAACTGAACTTTTCTTACAACAAAAAAGGAATAATTGGCATTCGAACACTTGGATAATCCTTGAATTCTCGTAGGTAGGTATAGTGTTTATCCTTTGCCCAGATTGTCATCTGAATGAAGCAAAGCAAGGTGAACAGCCCCACTAGGAGGAAGGGGAAAAGAAAAAAAAACAAAACAAAACACTTCATTGTCAGAGAAAGTACAAACTCTAATTGCTGACAACACTTCAGGAAGAAGTACCAAAACATTGCTCACCTGGAACGCATTGAGTCATGATAGTGAAACTGATCCATGTCCCCACCTGTTTTGGCCAAGGAAATTTAAAATATTTCTGATGACAGCATTTGCATTTATGTCTCTATTGATCAAATACAACCTTGTCCTAGTATAGGTAAATAAAAAAGCCAAGGTCAGCCATATCAATTTCTATTGTTAGTAACTTTTAACCAAAATGTGAACAATGCTTTGTTATCACAAACAAATTCTTCATGTTTGCTTTCATAGTTAATATGACAATTGTTTAAGCATTATAACATAGCTTTCTTTCATTTTCCCTACCTAATTTGCATTTGTCATTCATCCATCAATGCTAGAAACAGTAACTTTGTGTAGTCAACTGTATAACCAAAGAAAACGAAGATTAAGACCTGGCAGGTATTGCCTCATACCCCTGCTTCTCCTTTTTTCTCTACCACAGTATCTTCTATTTAACTGTGCACTATTTTCTTGCACACTGTGATATTCCTGGGCCCACATATGTTTTAAATCCACTGAATGCCCCAATCTCCTTTCTGCAATTTATGCTCAGTGTCAATTCCCCTATTCCTCTCTGCAACATTTTCACTGCTTCAAAGTACATCTGCATCTTGTATAGTGGCTACGCTAAAGCTCAGGCTGAACTGTTTCAGAGTTTAACATTCCAAAAGAAATGAAGACATATCCAGCAAAGCTAAAATATTAGCATTTTGCTTCAAAATACGTACCTCATAGGTATAGTTAGGGCAAGATACAAAGAAAAACAGCCATGTGAAAGGATTCTTTGTTGGATATGGGATCTTACGAGTTTTGGACCCTATAGATTAGAAAACAAATCACAAAATGTTTACACTTCTGGGCATATCACCTCCAACAAAGACAAGCCAAACCTGCCTATTCCTCTGTCTTATCACTGTCAGGGAGACAAGCAGGATGTGGGAAAACAATATGTTCTCTGGACCCACCTGAAGGAATAGGATAACTTGAGGAAATGCTCTGGGCATTAGGAAGACATTTACATAATCCTTTGGGTTGCAGTCACACCCATAAAATTACCTCAAGTATGTTTTATGTTAGAAGTTAAAGATGTTCTCCTGTTGTCACAGGATTAGATTTTAGTAGTCATAGTTGTTATCCATTGTTTAGTTAATGAACAAGGAGCTTTAGACTGCATAAAGATCTTTTGCTCCTCTGTAGAAGTCAGTTAAGTAACTTTCCGTTGCTCACCGAAGCGTAATTTATACCACCATTACTATTTCCCTCTGCACTACCAGTGTAAATGATACATCTGGTCACCCCAGAACAATCTGGCTGTAACCAAGAAAAATTACAGTGAGATAAGTGTTCTTTGACAGTCTCTTTTTGGATTTCTTGCACTGTCTGATTTCCCCTAGTATCCAATCTTTACAGTGCTGAACAACCTGATTTTCCACCACAATCAGAAGGGTAGATATCAGCACCCTATAGGATCAGTCAGTCCTTTCGTGAGGCAGAATAATTGTGGAAGTGAAGTACTGAATAGCTGCACAGAAGGAAAAAAAAATATGCAATTTTTACCATCTCTCCGGAGGTCACTAAGTGCAACATGAATGGAAAAATTTCCAGCTTCACATAGCTGCAAGAAAAGGTATGACAGTTAAAAGCATTCTCCTCTTCTACATGCTCTTCTCTCTTTTGTTATTTCCTGGGGAACTTAAAAACAACATAAAATAAGTTAGAGTCTGTTGTAAACATGATGAAAAATGGGAGTTAATGTGTTGCAAATAGCCAAGATATTATGCTATCTTACATATGAGATTTACCAACAAATGTGGACTCACTATCCAGAAGATAATTTACTTCTCATGCTGTCTCTATGACATCTAAAGGCACTGAACCACATAAAAGCAAATCCAGGAACCTACTTGCTTTGTCTTTTGGTTAGTCTCTTTAAAAACACCAGAAAACTTCATTTGGATAGTTTTGGTTTCTCAAAAGTCATCAACATCCCAAGGATTGGACTCAAAGGAAGTTTTCTTCTCTGGAGTATAATCAATATGAATCATGAAATGTAATTGACCCAGCTTTCTCCACTGGTTTTAAATAATGCTTTCTCAATCAACTATGTGGAAAGGGTATTGGAATAACCCATTTATATAATTATGGATCGTATCTTCAGTATCTGCACTGCATATCTATTAAAAACAAATGGCTGGTGGTCAGACCTCCTGAGTGCTATCACAAACTCTGTGTATATTCATGTAGTCTCTTTATAAAATGGTACTAGTTTACTACCTCACAGAAATTTCATACTGGGAAGATTCTTTGAGAGCCTCTGCTAACTGAGCATTAGTTTCTCAAAGCAGGTGAACAGCTGATGTTTTAAATGAATTAGGCATAAGTGGGAAAAATGGGTACATCTTTGTTGGCTACATTATGCAACCATAGAAATGTTCCTAGGAAATGTGAGGATGAACAGTGTCTTAAGAATTTTGTTTCATAAAAAATCCTTAAAAGGCTTAAAATGCCCCTGCAACACGTACTTCCCCTTGCTTCATTTGCTGCAAATGGTTGCATCTAAAGGAACATCTTCCCCTAGAAGTAAGTAATGTACTGTTTTAGTTGTCCAGTTCTCTAAATTTTATGACCTCTTCTGATTCTTAACACTCAATAAATATTTCACAAGACAAACTCAGTGGCTTTAAACACTGTCACAAACTGATCATGCCAGGATTCTTTTAGAGACTGGAGATCATCCCAACAGATCAATAACCCATTCTAGTCTTAGAATAGATACTTAATCAGAATCTTCCTTTGTATACAAGATCATATTAAAATGTGACAGATGTGTCTGCTCTTCATACAGGTGGGCAGCTTTAGTTTGTCCCAAGTATTCTAGTTTTAAGTATCTGTTTATCCTACCCATTCTGCCACTTATACAAGATAATAAATAAACTAGCAAGTTATAGAATTTTATAAAAAGAGCAATAGACCTACCAGAAACATGATCACAGCAAAATTAATCTGTTTTTTCCCATAAGCTATAAAACAAAATGTTTACATGTGATTAGCTATAAAATACAACCAGTGAAGGACTTAAATCATACTGAGAGCTGTAATGCTACTTACAAGGAGGAGTGTAAAGAGGATGATTGATGTAATAAGCAAGCCAAGCTGCAAATCCCCAGTAATACAAACAGTTCTGAAAAACAGGTAATTTTTCTTTGTTTTAGTATCATCTTGGAAAGAATTCACTATGAGGACCACAGATAACAATCAATTGGGCTGATCCTCCAAGTTGCTGATAATACAACAAGAAGTGATGATACTGGGTGTGGTAAGGCAGGAGCAAACAGGAAATGAGAGGGAAGAAGTAGTGCTCATAGGATAAGATTTCCTCAAATATTCTTAGAGCTGTTAAGTTTATAAAGGATTTTAGAAAATATTAATCTATTTTTGGAAACAGATTTCTCTTGTCTCACAAGCCGTCCAAAGATGATGTGCCATATGGACTTTATGTTAAAGGGAGACTTGTTTTATTAACCCTTCAGCCTTTATAAAACCTTATTTTGGCTATGTGCTCTCTTCTCTGCTTATTTCTTTGTATTGTCCAATTCCTTGACATTTTTCTTCTCCTTTGTCCCATCAGGGCTTTTCACCTTCACGTGTTTTAACTTTTCTTTCCTTAAATCACGCATGACTTTTCCTTCTGCCCCTTTTACTGTGGTGTCTTTACTTTGTTCCTTTTGGTGCTCTTCCTGGCTTTCTGTGATCCAGCTTCCATACAGCTCTCACTGTACTGATTCATTCCTGACCAATTCCAGAGCTTGTTCCGCAGCTTTATCCATTAAAAACAAAAAGAAAAAACCCTACTGAAAATTGCCTTCTCTACCTGTTGTTTAGTTTTCCTAGTCTTCTTCCTGTGGTTTTTCTTCTGACACTCTCTCTTTCTTGATGACGGGTTATCTTTTTCCTCTCTCTATATTTGCTGGTAGGAGGGAAGGCCTTTCTTGTTCTATTCCTCCTTTTCCTCTATGCTTTCAACTACACGTGCCATTCTTGACAACTCATACATTTGCCTCCTGTTGGTTGAGATTTTTTTTCATTTATCAAACCCATTTCCTCCATTTTTCATGTTTTAGGGTGTGTTTGGTTATTACCTAGACATCTACAAAAGCAAAATTGAGCCCTTTATTTTTCTTCCCTCGTTTATATTCTTCTTTCATGAGTAAAACTATGATCCTCTCGCTCTGCTGATGCTTTTTCCTTGGCCTTTCAATAGGTTCACATACCTTAGACATTTCTAGATCTTCTTTTTCCTTCACAGCTTTCCATTCTTGCTCACATAGACAAATTCTTATCCAAGGCTGCAGTCTTTCATGTCCTGAAAGTTTAAACTCTTTTTCTGGCTTTGAATTTTGCAGTCTTTCTATCTTATAAATAGTAGAACTGCCATTCTAGGAATACTACCCCACTCCCTATCCTCATCAGACATTCTGTTGCAATCCAGTTTCTTTTCAGAATTAAGTGAACCACTGAAGTGACCACTGACCTCAGACAAAATGGAGACCCCTCAGGATATGCTGTAGTACAAACAAATTACTCCTTGCTCTGGGATTATATATTAATAAATAACTAATCAGAAAGAGCAAACTATTAACTAATGGTTACAGATCAGGTGGGACAATAAGGGAGAGACTAAGTAACTTCCTTGTGATTACTTCCTTTTTTTTTAACTAGGAAAAGGAGCGGAGCTGGAGAAACAACTCCAGTGAGGATCAGTCTACTCAGTATCCTATCCATAAACTACTGCTTCCTTCCCAATGCTAATTTCTTCTGACATCATCCTCAGTGTATTAGCTGCTGTACAAACTTAGGTGAAAACACTTTCCTGTAATCTTGGAGTGGCAATTTATGAAAAATCTCTCTATAACTTCGGGCTTGGCACAAGATGGGTCATATGGCAATGGATTTTTTGTGAAGTATAATTAAGTGAATGATCATGGCTCAGCTCCCAGAAATACATGCTGTAATTAAACTGAACAAATACTAGTCATCCAAAGAACACGATTTACCACAAGAATTAAAAGTTATATCTCAATTGTAACAAAAAGAGCTTTAAAGATGACTGGAGTCTTCCACCCTTAGCACTAACACTGCACGTGACAAGATGTCACTAGAAGCCTTACTGCTCATACAAAAGTCTCCAGTGAGATTCAGATAGGAACAGCACGGTACGTGCAGACTTAATAAATTCATTAGAAAGAAGGGAATTATTTCTGTGCATCTTTTTTATTCCAGGTAAGTAAAAAGCCATCAGGTCCAGATACTGCTAAGATCCCATAAAAAAAAACTATTCCTAAGTTTTAAAACTTCCAGTTAGGATTTTTGTTCTCTCCCCTCCAATTTATCATTATTCCTATAATGATCAAAACTATTTCTTATTGTCTTGCCTATGTTTACTCATAGCCAATGTGTACTCTTTTGTTTGTCTCAGTATATAGTCTGCTGATTTAAATGGTATTTCTTTAGTTCTAGCATATTCTTTCCTCCAGATACGATCATAGGAAGCAAAAATATCCTGTCTTTTTACCCCTTTTTTAACCTTTGAGGAATTCCACTGCTCAACTACTATTGAAGGTGTGACTGAACCTCTTCTGGCACAACCATTATCATCTTTCCTTTAGTTAGTTCTTTTATCACACATTTTTTGTATTAATCCCTATTTTACTCTTACTGAGACATTTTCTAAATCCAAGTAAGGCAGGTATTCTATCTTGACATTGCCTAGAAAACCATCTTAGAATTATACTATGTAAGTATAGCATGAACTGCTTGTGTGGTGAACCCTTGTTGCATTTTACTGCATCATTTATTTAATTTGATGGACAAAGGATGAAAATCACAAATTATATCGTCTCAAGTCTCTGCTTATTGAAACTGGAGTGTCTCCTTTTAAACATAGCATTCTGTTTTGCTTTGGAAACAAGCATCTGCTTTGTGGGTGATTATACACTTAAAGTAAGAAGCTTTGGCTACCATCTGTGTGTGAGAGAAAGAAGGGAAGAGGATGTGATTTTTTTTTTTTTTTTTGACTGGTATTGACTGGAATTCTGGAGTAACACCATCAAAGTCAAGGAAATTACAGAAGTAAATCAAATCCAGGCAATGTTAAGCAGGGAGAAGAACTGTGAGCAACTTTACAGATGAAAGAAAGTACCACCAACCTGAAAAGGAGGAAAAGTAAATGTGATCAGAATGACTGATACAAATGACATTTTGTTTGGTCTGAAGAGGATTCTTTCTGGGATCCACTGGCTCAACTTTCTCATTCCATGTAGAAAGCATGAAGCTATTGCCAGAACTACAAGAGCCACTGCAAAGCTCTAAGAAGTTAGCCATAATGTAAAGTTTAAACAGTCTGGAGTATCACTGCCATAATTCAAAGTCCAAGGGACAGTCTAAATACAAAATATTAATTACTCAAATGGTGATGCTATACAATGTGCTTTTGTTCTCTTGAGTATAAAGAGTATGTTTGAATAGCAGTTCATACTCTATTGCTAACATTTTTGAAAAACCACAGCCCATGCATAAGCGTGCATCTCTGTAGACTACTAGGAAATAGGGGATCTGCATCTTGATGGCTGCCTTATGCCACAGCAGCACTGACAACATCAGGGGATGCTCCTGAGTGAGAAGAAAATACTGAACAACCAGGCTACTTTGCAGTGGAACAACGAAAGGTAAATTAACAGTTGCTTATCGACAAAGACGGTATTGGGTAGGAAGAATATGACTTTTAAAAATGGTTTTAAAGCAACAAACTTCTCAGTGTTGTACCTATCTGTGCTACCTTAAATGTCAACTTTGTTACTAAAGTCTTCACACCCAGGGAGCTAGCTGAGTAAAACAAAGGGAGTGCTGAAAGTTTCAAATTATAAAAGAGCAATGAGAAAACTATAACGTGAATAACTCTACAGCAACATGTGGATTATACAAAGTGACATTAAGAAATCTTTTGAAGGAACTACAGATTCATGGGTAAGATTTGCTGCTCATTACTAAAAAAGCCACATCCAAAAAAATCTGTGCTGCAGAGGCAGAGAATAGGTTGGCTAGGTTGGATTTGTAAGGGGCTATGGATAGATTCTGTCACAATTTACCTTCACAATATTCCTCAGAGGCATAGTCCCATGGGAGAACCGATGAACAAATATTGTTTCAATCAACCTTTTGATGTAGTGGAAAGAATGGCAGATACATGCCAAGCTAGAAACAGCAAGACAAAAGCATTTAAGAGTGCTTAAAAAAACGTGTGGCAAGACATTTGGAATAAGACTACAATGCTAACAAGAAATACAGCTCAAGCCTGCAACGGACTTACTTAACTACTGGATGTGGGCTTGATGTAAACCTCTCATCCAGTCCATACACAAAAGGCATGCGGAAATAAAACAGAAAATAGATGAACAATGGACCTGTATATTCTATCAAAAATACCTGCAAAAAGAGAGAAAATAATTAGACAGCTGAATTAGATGGTGATTCTGCTTTGGTTTCTTTGTAATAAGTGATGCAGTGGGATAAATACTTCCACTGACCCAAAATGGCATTTAGAGATGCACGGGGAGAATAGCAGCTATGAAATCAGTAGACATGCACATAAATGTTTTGCAATGCATTTGCCTCAACTGCATACAAACAGCCATTGCCAATGCAGCTGACACAGCATGGGTATGAAAAGGTAATCATGGTAGCCCAGAGATCGTGATAAATGGGCATGCAGGTTACATTTATGCAGCTCTCACCCTCCTCTTGCCCTCAAAACCTACTTTTTTTTTTACTTATTTGGGTTAAAATGAAATTAGGTGAAGAATTTATCTTGAAAGATATGTGCTTTATTTCTAATTAATGAATTTCATTTAAACTAGAAACATAATTTGCAAGTGTTCAGGTGACCCCATGTGTATGAACAGTTAGCACAGCAGATATTCCAGAAAACAATTCATTCTATGCTCAAATAATCTTTCATTTGGAAAAATAAAACAAACACCACCAAGAATAAAGTAACAACTGGAGGAAATTAAATAAGCTATTATCTAACTTAATTTCATTCCAGAAAGGTGTGTATTTCTCATGAGATCATTTTATATTGAGACTAAGTATTTGGACTAAGTATTAACAGTTGAATTTTCAACTTTTCTAAGTGAGGAAGGTAGGTCAACACCTCATTTTTAGAGAAAAAAGGAAAACTGAAGGAAAGCACAAAATGCATCACTTTTCTCAAGTGTTCAGTTATTTTGACTGGGAGAAAAGTTGTTTTTGTATCAACTTCTGTTACAGAATCGGCATTTTCTGTGGCAAAGGTAGGATTTGAATGCCTTTTTTATTTTATTTTTATCAAAGCATTTCTTGGCTTACATTTGAATGAAGTAGATTGAAGGAGAGAGAGGTAAAAGGGTAAAAGAAGAATAATGGATTGGAAGAAGTCTGGTCTATGATATTTTGGTATATATTCAAGTATATGTGTCTTGGAGTCTATGCTGTCATTAGTTTTGCTCTTCTTACTGATTCATGGTTTGTGTATCAGCTTCCTTACTTATCAGCATAGCATCCAAAGAACTGATCTAAAGATTCAGACTTGTAGGGCTTTTTGTTTGTTTTTTTGCCTCCTATGAATCTATCTGTCACTGACACAATATTTTCTTAATATTTCATAGATAAGAAATAGTAAATGTGTCTTTAAATTACTGGGTACCTTTTCCCTTCGTGCTGTGCTGTTTCATTAGAAGTAGTGCTAATATGTGCACTATGGACTTTCTGAAGAACCTTCAAAAGTCATTGATCTCCTCATTGCGTAAACATGAATGCAGTGTCACCTGCTGAGTGAGTTGTGATGGGACCTGTCTTTGAGCTGAGAGAGTAAACATGAGATCTTCATGGATTACAGAAATGATCAGCTGTCATTAGCCTGGCATTAGTATCCTGGGACATAGCCATATACGACTAACTAATTTTACTTTCATTCATTTCCCTGCTGAAGTCAGCTCAATTACTGACAGGTAAGTTTCTCAGATGCCTCGTTGCAGGATAAACTTGGAATATAATCCTGATCTCTGTCAGGAGAGTTGCACAGGAATTTAGATACCTAGTTCCTAGTGATGAGACATCTAAATCCATCTGAGAACCTGTACCTTAGTTCAGCACCACCGAACTAACGCGGTAGCAAGTTTTCCTCTGCTGCCCTCCTAGGGAACTAGACATTCAAAATGTTTTCTTGCTGCTTTCCCTGGATAAAATGAACTGAAGCAATGAGGGTTCATTGCCTGCATCCACTGTCAGAGCAGGCATCATGCAGAAATACTGGAGTGAGACAAAAAGTGATGTAAAGATTAATTATGGAAAAACAGCCATTAAATTGGCTCAAATTTGAAGCATAGCTCACCGTAGTCCATCCTATCTGTGGCCCTAAATCTTTAAAGTATAAAGTAGCAGTTGTGCCAACAGGGAGGTGCTGCAGGATTTCCTCATTCCTCAGGGACTTTCCTTCTGAGAAGGAAAGAGGTAATTACATCTCAGTGAAATTCAAATCAACTACGCTAGCAAACTAGCTTCATATTGTGCTTTTAGAAGTCCATGAGATTCTTTGACCTGACATAGGTTTATTGGAATCAAAGTTTAAAAAAATATTAAGAAAGTTTACAGTTAATTTTGAATTATCCCTGGGATCACATGTAAATCTAGGTCCTCTGCTCACACCAAGACAGAAGAATTCCCAGTCCGATCTGTCTGCCTAGTCTGGTAGACTTGCTTCATCACTGCTACAGCAGAATTTGCTGATGGGACGCTGCCCTTAGTATAATTCACTGACCTAGTCAGCTTCACCTCCATCTCTCTCTTGCCTGCTTCTCATTGCTCATCAACAGACACCAAGATGGGATAAGCTGTAAAGGGAAGGCCCTCCTATAGAGGTTTTACTACCTGTTTGTTTGTTTGTTTGTTTTTTCCAAACAACCAGTCAAGAGACGATTCCACAGCAACTAAGCTGGAGCTCAAGTTTTTTAATACCTGGATTTGGAGGAATCTGAAATGGTCGATCTTTGAAGAAGGAAATAAGGCACTGATATATGTTTTCCATGGACAGATTCTACATGATGAACTAATCATCACCAGCATAATTTTAAAGGAAATGTATAAATCAAATTAAGCTTAATAGAAGCAGAAGAACAAAGTGATACATTTTATACTGAATGCTAAGATGATTTAATGTAATTTGTCAATTTGACTATCTTTTGTGCACCCAGGCCATGTACTGTGAGGCTTCCAGCAGTGATACCTGCAACTACATTAATCCAGTCAACCACCTGTCATCAAGATTTATCAGCAAAAATTCATGTCAGTATGTTCTGTATTTGCTTACTTCAAAGGAATTTTAATTCCTGCCTGAAAGCAGAGGATTATATGAATTAATATCTGCAACTCCTTACTACTCCCAGTTTAGCATCACTATGGGGATCGTTTCACTGCAGCTAAGGGAAGTTATTGTCTAGAATCTGTGCTACGTGCCCTTAAAGCAAATGTTCACAGCAGTTAGAAAATGCATTGGAATAATATGCAGGTTCCTGAGTTAATTACCAAGTGCCAAACACATGGATGGAACTTTTTTCAATACTTTGAAAGAATTGAATTTGTTTTGGAGCCTCTTCAGCCTTCACAGTGCTACATAACATAGCTGGAAACTCATTTTTAAGAGCTAATACCCATTCAAAGTACACCTTTCATGTGAGGCCACTGCTCAGAGCTTTATTACTCTAGTCTTCACAGGTACTTACTTGGATCAAGTTTTATTGACTGTCTTGCTGGATACCACTGGGGATCTGTAAAACCATGAAGAATTTTGTGATATACAATGTTTCTTTTAGATTATCCACTGTTACAATGAATGAAACACAACACAGTAAGACTTATTTGAAGATATTTAGGAATATTAATCTAATATGAACATCCATGAGAAATTATGCAGCAGGAAAAATGCAAAGGTGTATCAGGCTAGTATAAAAATTGTATTGAAATCTCACTGTGATTACACTCATGTGCAAGTTACCTCACATTATCATAAAATCATAGAATGTCCTGTGTTGGAAGAGGCTGTAAAGATCATCTAGTTCCAGCCTCTAATGTGTGTATGCATCACGTTTCACCTTATATAATTTTTTTCTTATTTATATACTGGATATTCTGATGTAATACAAACTGTTGCAAAAGTTATACTCACATAATTTATGGAACATTGATCTTATCTCCCTAATTGTAGCATTTGGTTCCACCTAGGCAAAAAAGAACATATATATATTTATGTACATATGTATATAAGATGCATATTTTTAAAGACAGCTATTAGGATTGGTATGAATGATTCATAACACTTCTTACAGGAAAAGTGGAGGACCTGATTTCAGAAGCAGCTATTGTGGCAGTACTCAAAGTGTTACTACAGCAGCAGTGACAGTTTGATGGCTTCTAAGTGAGTAAGGGACAACTGGCACCATCTTAGAGAAGCAAGTGAAATTGTGCTCTTTGCACAAGAGCTCCTTTGTGAAAAGAGGTATGAGTATGAAGCATGTGAAGCGTGAACAGTTATTGTCTCCTTAATGCCAAAGGAGGGCTATCAAAATACTTTTCACAAACATTAACTTTGCTTTAAAAAGAGTTAGCAATTTTTAAATAGTCACCTAATGTTTTGAGCAGGTTTTTATTTTACCTTATCTAGGAAGCATAGCTGTTCCTTTGTCTTCCAGTCAAGGATTTCCACCTGATAGGACACAAAACAATAATCATTAATTACTGACTGCATAATATCTAAACTCTTAGTTGACTCTCAAATTCACAATCACTATTCAGAATGAGACACCATTTTTCTCTGATCTACATGTGAGAAGCAATTCTAATGTGCTCAAGAGACAGTTTTAATCACAGGCAGGTTCTCAAATAACTCAATTTGTGAAAAAAGTAACACTCTTGACAAATAAGTTGTCTTCACGGATAAATTCAGAAGCAGTAGTAGCTAATTTACTGACCAAAATATGCATACTCAGGGGTGTTCTCTTAAGCTAAAACAAAAGGAACAAATAAAGAAAAGTTTCACACAAATCATTAAGGAACAAATCTGTCTTCAGAATTGTTCTGATTTGTAAAATTAGAAAGACAATTTGAGAAGAAATGTAAATGTACACATACGTGCATGTAAGCAAATATTTTGAATATGTATAGCATGAAGATTGCTGTGCATTGTTCCCAGAATTTGTTAATTGTGAAGAGAGTGAAAAACATCAGCAGACATAATGAACAAAAATGCAGCTAAAAATGGAGACGTCACACATCATATGCAGTATTGTATGCGATATTGTGTTATTCTTGCCTCTCAGATCACCTGTATTACGAACTGCATATCAGCATTTTATATTCCAAGCAGCTGAGACGAGGATAGAGTAGACTTGTTTTGATGATCAAATGACATTTTGGCAAAAGATTTTATTTTAATCAACAGCCAAGCAGGAAGGTCCCAAGATGTTTCAAAGTCCAGTTGCAGCAGGCTCTTACAATACACTGGTTGTGTTTTAATTACACTCGTTTTCATCAAACACTTAGTAATGGTACAGCTAAGATTGAAGGATCAAAGCTTATCTGTCACACTAAATGACTGTGACTATCATTACTCAGTTTGGGTTTTGCTCTTTGATTTTGTTTATTTTTATAATAAATGTCTACCATTAATTACATTTGGTATTAACTGGCCAAGAGGACAGATTAACGGTAGGCTTTAAATATGACTCCTGACTAAAAATAGGAGGCACAGTCCAGTATCTTTCTGACAGTTTCTCTGAAGAGATCACTCAGTTAGAGTGTCTTGTTTCCTCCTTTTAGTTGTCCCAAATTGTTCTTTCTCTGTTAGTGTAGCCATGAAGCACTTCAGCTCCAGCCAGAAGTATCAGATCTGATCCCCACAAGGGATAATGCAGTAGTATTTTCTGCCTGCACCCTGTAAGTTCCAAAGGAGGTGCCAAAGGAGGTAAGCACTTTTCCTCCTTTGCAATTCATAGAGAATATATGCCACATTGGGATATTATGTATTTCTCTCTTTGTTGTTGGTTGTTGTCGTTGTTTAAATATATATTTGAAACAATGTAAATTACAAGTGTTATTGCCTCTGTGGGAGATCCCTGTGGGAAAGCAAACGAAGTGAATTGTGTTATTCTGCAACACTGATCTACAGTACTCTGGCTCTCACAACCCACAGAACAGGCACTGTGGGGGCTGTAAATCGATTTTTGTCCCTTGAAATGCTGAGTTGCTACAAGGTTTATTGAAATCTCTGGTGTATCTCAAAGTTTTTGTATCAAAGAACACCACTGGGCAGCCCTACTGACTACAGCAGTGACTGGCTTAGAAGCCTCCACCTCATTCCATACCCACAGACAGCATGTGCATACTGGATTGGAATCTCTCTCCCCAGGCAGTTTTACTCTATGACTTTCCATATTATGGAAATATGTCCATATTAGAGAAGTCCTCTCCAGGCCAATTACAGAGCCTTACAATAACAATTTATGCTCTTCTAATTAGTTTACTCTCATTTTGCACAAGGCCAGACAGAAAATTACAAAACATTTTCTTTTGCTCTGTGTTTTTCTTGGGGGCAGCTGTGCAGAAATTCTGGTATTTCTGTGAATCATTGGAATCAGTATGGGAAAAAACAAAAACAAACAAAAACAAACAAATAAACAAAAACAAAATAATCCAGGATCTTCTGTATTCCTATTTGGTTTAATTGCAAGATGTCTCTTTGAAGTGCCAAACTGGCATACCTCCTATATTGGCCCATTTCTTCAAAAATGTAATAGAAGCCTGTATGATGGATCCAAACTTTTTTGATGGTGTGGTGTCAGTGAGGAGAGGCAATGGTCAACAGCTGCAATATGGGAAATTTCAATCAGATACAAAGAAAATGGCTCAATATTTGACCAGGTAACATAGAGGCAATGTAGTATCTCTGTCTTTCGAGTTATTTAAAACTGGGCTGGACAAGACCCAGTGCAGTATGATCTAGCTGCATCTGCTTTGAGCAACAGTTGGACTACATGACTTCCAGGAATCCTTTGCAACCTCTATTATTCAATGTTGAGGTATTTTTGGTCAGTCCTTCCTGAACTTGAAATATTTTGGTTTCTAACTTTCAGGATCTAAGCAAATATCATACATGCTTTCCCCTTTCAGAAAGAGGAACACAAGAACACAGCTGTAGATCCCATTCCAGCCTGCAGAAATCTGTGTGACAACAGAGTGAAAGCAAGGTAAACTGTTTCCTTTAACTATCATGCCTCTTATCTGTGACAAGAAGTCCCCACAGTAGTTAGCTGTTCCCTGCAAAACAGACAGAAAAGACTGATCCAAACTAAGAAATGTTATTTTTCTGAACATAATGGCCAGCCACATGAACCTAGATAGCACTGAACACAGTGTTTCCAGTCTTCAGGCACAGCACCAAGTCAGTTAATGTATTGGTTGGCAACAGTCTTTAGATACCCAGCAATCTGTTCTTGGAACGCTTACTGATGGGTACCAGCCCTTTTAAACATAAATCTATGTCTCAGGGAATTTTAATTTTGGAGTGTTCTTAAAGAGTTTAGCAGAATAGGACACTGACAGTCGATTTGCACTAGAATGGTGCGACTTGCAGATCACTTACTTGGTGAATTTATGAAGGCATTTTGAATTACCACTTCTCTAAAACTGTTTTGAATAGAATTTAATCAGTAGGCAGATTTGTGCAAGATACCTGTTAGTTAAAACACTTCTAGAAGTGACTACAGGTACATATTTTCAATGTTGAGAAGACAAATTTGTTCTCATGAATAAGGAGCAAAGATTGATAGTGTCTTGAAAGGCAGAGAAAAATTCGGAATTACTGTTTAGTACAGGCCAAGATCAAAGTAATCAATTTATGATAAAAGCCAAGAAAACTACTTTCAAGTGTCAGACTTTTATTCAGAGGGTTAGAAAGTTTATCCATAGGGGAAAAATGGCTGAGCAAACTGTTTGATTTTTATTTTTTAAAGATGGTGTCTCTTTAATAGGATTAAAAAATACAATAAATCAAATTCTCTCCGTTTAAAATTAATCAACAGATATTCAAAAGTGATGTAGTAACTTTTAAAGAAATACTGACACATCATGTTTCTGCATGTTGGAAGCATTATTTGCAGTCATTTGCACTCAGCAGATTCAGTAAACTCCAAGCTTCAGCTTAGAGAGATCTTTTTAACACCAACGTAAGCATATATTGTATTGGTTTATTTTTAAGTTAGGGAAAAAAAAAAAAAACAAAACACCAAAACTGCTTATTTTACAGCCTAGGAACTAAGCAGCCCAAGAGAAAGATATGCAAAATGAATTAATAACCCCTGAACTATTGGACTGCTTATATAAGTGAGGTTCCTTTAATTTAACCACACACACACAAAAATCAGGGGTTGCCACAGTCCCAATTATATCTTTCTAAACATTTTATTTTTCCTATAGTATCAGTCATTTTCTCTATTCTTTTAGAATTTTCTGGAATACTGTTTTTTTTTATGAGGGAAGCAGACATGGCTCAGTGTGATTTCTCACTAAGGCATATTGGAAATAACTTCCTTTAGGTCATTAGAGTTAAGCCAAGGGGAAACTGCTATCGTTTTTAGTCATTATCACAAAGCCAAATTTCCTCATAATCTATTAAGAACAATTATTCTGTCAGTAGTCCAACTACATAAAGCCTTACCTCTCTGAAGAGCTCATATTTCATGAAACTAGCATTTTATTACTATTTCACCTAGTTTGAAACAGGAGATGCAGTGATACTTGGACAGTTAAATTTCTCTTTCATAAAGCAGATGTCTAACATGCACAAGTTCACAAAACACACACCAGGAGTTTTACTGCTCAGCCTCCTAAATTGTGCTCCTATGTATGCCCATGGGAACGATCATCTGGTATGTACTGAAACTCAGTATCTTTTTATTTCTTCCACCTGTTTCAGATTGTTAGCTAGGCATGCTTGCATGTAAATCCTTAAGGACCTTGATCCAGTAGCATCTTCACTCCAAGGTCAGCACAAAGCACAGCATTTAAATTACTTGTGAATGAAACTAAGCCGTCGCAAAGGAGGTGATGCAGTCCTTCATGCTTTATATATAATGGTTAGACACATGGCCAAGAAGTGGAAATCTGCTATGGCCTGTCTTCTGCCATTACCAACTCCTTTCATAGAATCTGGGCCATCAAGGAATAAAGGATTCAGAAGACCAAAAAGTTCAGACAGGAAAGGACAGGAATGTTTCCCAGTAAAAAGCCAGAATCTCTACCAAAGAGAAATCCTAAATCCCCATCTTTCTGGATTACTTTAAGCATCACTTCCTTCCATTGTCATTCTGTGCATCCTTTCCCTGTGCCTGATGCCTTCTGGTATACCACCCAGTGAAGAGCTGGAGTTGAAGTAAACGTGGATGGATAGCTTAAGCAAATTGTCATAACCACTCTTGGAGCTGGGTGCCTAACGTGACTGCATGGCAAGTTTGCTTTCTTGATTTGGACCTGTGAGTGGTAACAATTGTAGGGCTACAAACAGTCATCCTTCAGAATGAGAAATCCATTTATATAATTGATTGAAAGAGTCTGTAAGAGTAGTCAGGAAGGAAAATAACGGTTTATTCCCTGGGAGTGGCAGGCTGAATTTTGGTCCCCTCTCCAAAAAACAAACAAACAAAAACAGCTGTTAGAGGTTTGTGTTAGATGTTATTACAGTGAATTCTGACTCCTGAAAGCCTATGAAAGCTTTCCAGTTTTTGTTACCATGATATGTTCCAAGAGGATACACAAGATGGGAAAGTGACCTGCACCAGTTAATTCTGACTCAGTGGGTATTTTCTTGCCCTGGCTAACACAGGGCTGCACATTGCCAATTTCCCAGTCATGCTGAAGACTCGCATCATTCACTGAGTATCACTGTCACTATTAAGCAGGCTGGAGTGCTTCCATCTGAGAATCTAAGTCAGCTTTGATGCAATACTAAGTAGATATCCAGGTTTTTCAACAGCACTTCATAGCCTTTTATGTGTGAAAAAGAGACTATCTATAGCTCAGGGCTCTAGTTCAAAGGGATTATTTTCCACAGTGGCAATATTCAGGTAGAAGAGGCTTATAAATTCTCTGTGAAAACACAATCATTTCTTTGAATCAGCACTGTGATTTGCAATATTGAACTTCAGTATCTATAGTTCCATTACTACTTTTCATGAATCATTTGGTGGATGGATGTCAAAATGTAAATCCAGGGTACACTTCAAACATGGAACTGAAGAGACTGAAGGGGGGGGGGGGGTGTACTTTTTTTACTCACATCTACTTTATAAAATATACTCCAAAGAAGTCCATTATTTTCTCTAAAATAAGACCTTACCTTTCAAAAGCAGCCTTCAAACCCTGAATGACTCCAGGTACGCCCTGCCAAGTAACATTTTATTGTCACATTTCCCTCTACAAAATTTAGAGTTTCTCTCTCAAGTTCCATGGAAAAAAAGAACAAATTGCCCATCTCTTAAATGAAGCAACACAGCTGTCTGTACAAAGTGTTAGGGATATGGAAAAGTGATGAGGGAAGAGAAAGGGAGAATGTTTTTCCCCATATTCTTATCTCTTTCTGAGATGATAATTGTATGTGTTACTTGTGAAAGCAGATGACATTTTCAAATGGCAGGGCAATTTTCGGCAGTCTCCTTTTAAATGACTGTTCAAACATCTCACACACAGCCTTGTCTTGCTCGGGCAGCTCTTGGAGAATACAGAATCTTAAAATCTTCTGCAGTCCTGCTTTTGGCACTTGCTCTCAGTGTCTCTACTTGATGTCTTTAGACAGCATAGCTCTGAGTGGAAGAAGCCTTTGTAACAGGAGCTGCGACATCTCAGCAATGCTGGCCAGGCAGCAGCCATCCCCCTGCATTCAGAAGGTTTTCATCACAGTCAGAAGGGGGAGAAAATTTAAATGCCAGCAAGGACAGGGGGGAGGAGGGAGGCAGTACATTATTGCTTTTAGCAGTACTGCATATGTCAGCTCAGTCTATCCTCAGGGAATGAAGACTCCAGAGCATTTTTGGGTAGAACTGCTTACAAAAGGCACTTCCCGTCCAAAGCAGTTAAGGATGCAAAATTACAACTGAAGTTCTTATGACACTGATTCTCTACAGTATTTGCTTAAGCATATTTCCTCTAGGAAGACAGAGGACCATTCTATTTTTCCTACATGCGATGCTTTTGAAGACCTAAACCTGTCAAACAGAAAAAAAAAGGAGTAGAATTCATCAGCCTAATTTCAGAGCTCGGTGCTACAGATATTTATGTCTGAGCATCTCATATAAACCCTTTGTAGGGAAAGGAGAAAAGCTGGCACTTTCAGAATCAGCCATATCATAAGTTTTGAAACACATCTAAAATAGGCAGAAGAGGTATTTTCTAATCAATTTAGATAAATGAGCACTCCCAGAGAACATCAGTTATCTAAATACCAGTCTCTATCATAGATCTCTACATTCTGGGCAGTGAATCTCTCCAGTACCATCAGGCATGCACATGTCTCCGAATAGAAGCTGTTCTTGCTACTTTTCTTCTGAGCTATTAGTGATAAAACAGCTGTGAGATGAAATGATAAACATACCAGCACCCAAACAAGACCCACTGTAGCATTACTGCAGAACAAGAAGCATGCAGGCAGTCATCTAGACGTGGGTCTAGGAGTGCAGGGGACCTGACCATCTATCAGTTCTAATGCAGACGTCTTGTAAGTAGAGGCAAATCACTCTGCTAGTCTGGACTTTTTGTGCTGATCCATTAGACCCAGCATACTTGGGCTTAATTCAGTTGTTGCTCATAGTTCTTGGTACTTAACTTTGAACACAGCCAACTCAAAGAAAAAAGTTGAAGGTGATTCCAAAGCTCCATCTCCCTTTCTACCACTGGCTTCTTAAAAGTCATGTCAATACGTTCCCTACTTTGGAAGTCTTTAGCAGCAGTGAGAAATACTCTCGTAAAAGAACAGCCAGTGTCTGGTCATGTGTAGTCTCATGCTCTTGCACATCTTTTTGTAGGTCCATTCATGGGTAAGAGAGAGGACTTTCCCAAATACTCAATATGAAATTGATTATATATTGGCCTTGATAAAATGCCCCCAAACAGGAATATTCCAATTCTGATAAATCTCTGCTAAACTTGTAACCGTCGTATTAGAAAAAGGTCAGAGAGCAGGAGTTTGGTGTTTGCAAAGTGCTCTGTAATTCTTACAAGGAGGCACGACAGAAAATCAATAAAGGGCAATAGGTTTTGAGATATACAGAGATAAGTATAGAATTGCACACTAATCCAAAATAGGGGATATTACCACTTGTGATATCAGTAGAGATTTTTTTTCTCTTATGAAGTCTTGGGAGTGGTGGAACATTCATCTTCTGCTTTTGATAACTCAGTTTCAGATGTTTGCTGAGGAAGTGCAGTTCAGCATACCGAGCTATCTTGAACTTGTAAGCAAAAGCAAATAAGTGAGGAGAACAGCGCAGGAAGCGATAGGCGACAGCACCCCGCGCTGCCCTGTCCAATACCACACCTTGGGTCTGCTCTGACACACTGCATGACTTTAGGCACATCGGCTTTTGCCCATTATCTGCTGTGAGAGAACAGGACTAAGACACAAAGCTGACATGTAAATTCATGAGACATCCGAATTTACATTAGCATTGCTTAGACAGAGGATATTGATTAGATACCAAGAGCAGGCTCTGCTGCTCTGCTCTGCCCGGTGGAGTGGAACAAATCATTCCACTTTCTCACATTTGTCCATCTGCAATATGAGGTAAAAACAATAATGTCCCCGCTTTAGAGTAATGGGTGTTATAAAGAAGCTCGGTACAATGGGAGCAGGAGACCAAACCTGCAGGTCAGACAGTAAGGATTTTGAGAGGCATCAGCTGCGTGCCTACTGCATCTGGATTTCTCAAGACCGTGGGACAGCAGTAGAAATGCAGGAGGCGGTGACAAGGTTGGGCACTTTTCCTAAAAACTGGGGAGGTCAGCATTGCAGAGGAAAGGCAGAGAGCGGGCGCCCACCTCGCTCCCACTGCAGCTACAGCCAGCTCAGTGTGCTGAGCGTGACATCCAAGAAACTTTTATCCCTTTGAAAAGCAACATCTCAACTTTCAGGCTGTGCAGAAGCAGGTTCTTTTCACTTGTTTTAGAGCCCGTTAACGTTACAGTAACGACCGTTTTGTTATTTTGTGTATTTTGCACTGGGAAAAAATGCATTCATTTTTAGTTGAATCTCGTGCCGGAGCGCACGAAGCGCGAGCCCGCAGAACCACAGGGCAGCTGGCATTTGGCCAGCACCGCCTCGCCGTGTAATACGGGCACCGCTAGGGATTTTTGCATTAGCCAGCCTCGTCCTAGCGGAGAGCGGGCACGTCTCCCTTCCGACCCTCCAGGTCCGTCTCACCCCGCACCTCCCGCACGCACAAGCGGCCGAACGGACGCAGCGCCCGCCGGCGGCCCCGCGCGTCCCACTCAGAGCGCGAACGCGGCCCCGCAACGGGGCGCTGGGAGCCTCCCGGCAGCCGAGCCCCGCGCCGAGCCGGGCCGGAAGGCTCGAGGACGTCGGCTGCCGAGAGCGTTCCTCGCCGCCTCCGGCCCGCCCGGCGCGGCTGGGTATCGCCGCCCGAGGCGGCCCGGCCGGCCGACCCCGCGATCCGTCCCGCGGGACCCCGCAAGGAGCCCGGAACCTCCGCGCGGCACCGCTAAGCGGCGGCTCCGGCTCCCGGCGCCTCACTGCGGATGAGGCGGCTCCCGGCCCGCCGGCTTCCCGGCCGCCCGCTCGCCGGCGGCTGTTCTCTGCGGACTCACCGCCCGGCACGGCCGCCGCCCGCACCCACCTCGAAGAAGCCGGCCCTGCCGCCCATCCTGCGGGCCGCCGCGGCGCCGTCCCCAGCCTCGTGCCGCTGCCGATCGGGCGGCGCCGGCCCCGCGGCGGGGACCCGCGGCGAGCGGGAGCGCCCGGCCCCGCCCCGTCGGGCTCCGCCCCTTCTGGCCCCGCCCCGCCCCGCTCCGCCCCGGGCAGCGCGAGGCGGCGGCTCCGCGGCCGGGCCCGGGGCGCGCGGCTTCCCGCGCTCGGCCGTGCGGCCAGCGCGACGTTGGGTACCGCTCGGGGGCGGTGCTGCGGGACGCGCTCCTTGCGGGGGCCGTCCTGGGGGCGGCAGGCAGCCCCGGGTCGCGTGGCTTGCGGGTTTCGTGGCTTAGGAAATCAAATCCGTGCTTTTGCAAATCAGCGGCGCGCTCGCCGACACGGCTGCTGCGGAACCGCCGTGACGTCGCGGCATTGCGTTTTAAGTGCCGTCCGAAAGAAGGCACGACAGAACCAAACGGGCACTCGGTTCCTCTGAGGGCCTCTTGCTCGCCTTCTCTGGATCCCCACGCATCACTCACGGCGCCGCGACCGAACCTCGCACGGCCGCGGTGATTTCAGCGAGCCAAACGAGCGCCATCGGCGCGGCGGCCGCAGCCGGGCCCCGCCTGCAGGGCGCGGAGCAGCCCGCCTCGACCGCTCGCTCCGCCCCGCCGGCGCCCAGAGGGCGCTGCTCGCCCCGCGGCGGCGCGCGGAGGGCGCCGGTCGGCGTCGCGCAGGCGCGCGCGCGAGGCGACGACGGCGGAGCGAGCGGCGCTCGGCGCGCGCTGCCTCCCGGGCTGGGCCGCCCCGCCCCGCCGCCCATTGTCCTCGCGCCATGTGACCGCGGGCGGTTACAAAGCGCGGGCCGCCCGCCGCTCCGCCTGCTGAGTCACGGCGCCGCCCGGCGCCGCCGCAGCGCGAGGCTTCGCCATGGGGACGCGAGGCGCCCGCGCTCTGCTGGAGCGAGCGGGCACCCTCAACCTGCAGACCGGCAACCTGCTGAGCTGGGGCTGCGGCCGCAAGAAGTGCCCCGCCACCCCCAGCGAGGAGGTGAGCGGGCGGCCCCGGGCCGGCGAGGGCTCTGCGGCGGGGGGCTGCGGGGCGGCGCCTGAGGGAGCGCTCGGGGCTCTCCGGCGGCGCGTGCGGGCCGCCCGCGGCGATCCGGCTGGCCTTCGGGGCTTCGTCCGCTCGCCTTCCTGGCGCCCGGAGGCGTCGCCCGGCTCCCGTTACGGCGGTGACGCGAGCCGGCAGGCCGTGGCTCGCCGCCGCCGCCGCGAGAAACGCCGACGCCGCGGCGGCCGCTGCGCGGTGCGGGCCGGCCCGGCGGCGTTCGGGCTGGGGCCGGGCCGATCCTGCGCGCCTGGGGCGGCGGCGGAAACGCGTCGGGCTGAGCGGCCGGTGAAGCGCTGTCCGCCTTGAGGGCGCCGGGGCTGGTAAGCGGTGCTGTTGGAGCTGTGCCTGACGTAGCCGCGTCTGCGTTTGGTCTCGGGGAATCGGGCGTTACAGGGCTGTAAGGCGAGGGGGATCCTCGTGCTTCGTTCAGGAGAATGACGTGACGCAAACTCGGGCAGTGAGGTTTCTCCTTTCCAACTTAGAATTCATTTTAATGCTTCAGTGACTGTGACAAGTGTAGGCGAAGTGCAGTCACTGATGTCTTCTTTGAAGACTAAAGCAATCTGCTGTCTTTAAAAATGTACTTTTGATTAGTACTTTAAACCCATTGCCTCTAGCACTGTGTGTCATCACTGCAATCATTCTCGCTAACTGGGGCCGCCCTGTGGCTGTGGACTACAGAACTGCTGCTTTGCTGTCCGGCCAGGTGCCTGAAGATTGCCCTTGTGCACTCAGCAGAGCTGCTTAGGGCCGCACTGAGATGATGCTGTGTTAGAAGGTGGCTGAGTGTGTTGACTGCGTGCAGACCATGGGAGTGGTGACCATTCGGGAAGGCAGTGCAATACCAAGGAAGAGCTCCTCATACTTCTGTTTGGCTGTTGTGAAGTAATGGCTTTTTCTTTGGCCCTGTTACTGATAGCTGTGGCCTGTGCGAAATAGATCTTTCAGCTAAGAGGATGCTGCAGCATCACCAGCGACTGGTGTCGGTACCATCTGGAAGGTCATTAAATAAAGAATGGCAGTGTGCATAGCTGGTCTGTTAGGGTATTTCTGGGCGTTTGATTACAGAGATGTTTTCATTTAAACACAAGGCTGCCAATTTGCTGGCATTGCTGGAATTCCAAAAACAGTGAGCATAATTTATCAGAAATAAGTGAGTTTGTATCTATTCTGCTTAGCGTGGCAGTGTGTGAGATTCCTAGAGTGAGAACAGAAGTCAGAGGGTTGTGAGGAATGAACCGTAGGGCTGGTAATAGTGAGCTGTAACCACTGTGCTGCTCAGAGCTGTGTGCCTCGCTGTGTGCCCTGGGGACAGAGCTTTGTTCAATCCAGCAGCAGCCATAGGGAGTGGCAAAGTAGTAGAAATGGGATATACTTCTTGAGCAGTCCTGTACTTTTATTCAGACAGAAGATTGGCTGTGTTGATGGAAACGTAATGTTAAAGAATTCTAGCATCATGGATAGCTGCTTAATGATGTCAGTTCTTGACTTTTGAGTCAATTACTTTATTCTTCACGTTTTAAGTGTTCTTACAGGATTATGTCTTGATCTTTGTGGTGCCCAATTCCTGGATGGTGGTAGAGCCATGGTGTGGGGTGTGATGGGCTCTGAGTTCGTGTTAGTTGTCCCAGGAGACTGCCATTCAGAGAGATAAGAAGGTATTTGCACAGATATAAGATGCCATTTTAGCAACATGGGTTTCTGATGTGCTCCTCTCACAGCAGATACAGTCTGACGGTGCATAGCTTTAGTCTGCAGGGCAGTGTGTTACAGGGAAGGGTACAGGTACAGCTGAAGCACTAGTGCAATACTCCGTTTGTTAATTAGCTTACTAAGACTTAACAAGTGTAGCAAGGCAAACCTACTCATATTCATGGTCAGAATTGTTATCAGATCTATTTCACATCCATGGAAGAAGGAAAAGTGCAACTGAAGGTAGGATCTGAAGGATCCTCCTATAAATTTGGTACAGTGGAATAGGCAGGTGGAAAAGGGTCGCACCTTGGAAAGAAGCTATGAATATAATAAGGGACTGTAATGTTGTTACAGCATGTATGCTATTATCTGTCTACTTTGCAACTTAATAATCTCTGCATTTAAAAAAAAAAAAAAAAAACAATGTAGGCCTCTGTTTCTTGCATACAATTCCTTTTAGGATGGTGTTGGTCAGAGAAATAAATGAAGTACAGTACTTGTCTTACTGCTAAAACTCTTTGAAAGAGGAGAGGAGTTCTTTTAGAGTTAGCTTGTTTGAACAAGTTTCATATGGAAACCATGGAAAAAGAATCATCTGTGGTTGAAGGAATGGGGTCATGAGTTTACCTGCTGTCTGCCATATGCCTATGAATCATTGTATTTCTATGCAACTGAAACATAAACGCACCTGAATATCAAAATATTTTTTAGGTGCGGGACTGCATTCAGAAAACACTGACTGAATGGAGCTCAAAGGTTGGAGATCAGAATCAGGTAGGAGAGACTGCACATGTTACATTTGAACACAAATATGTTCTTTTAAAATATGAATGAATCTACTGAAATTTTATGAATGTCTGCAGCTCCATATGCCTTAAAATAGTATTTCTCAACCCTCCTTTTTGGTTCTTTTTCTTTGTTTGTTTTCACGTGTGATATTTCTTAGCCTCTTGAGATTCACTGAAGTAAAGAATCCTGTTGATGGGGAAATAAGAATTCTCAGCTGAGGAAGTTGTTTGGTTTCTTTGCTTGCTTTCTTTAGGAAGGTAGTTTGCCATAGGTGTCTCTTTACATCCGAAAAGCAAATTACTTCTAAATGTTGTTTCAGTAATTCATATCAATAAGTTATATATATGTTGTGTGTGGTTGGTTTTTGTTTGGTTTGGTTTGTTTGTTTTTTTATTTGTTTTTTGTCATACAGTATTTTCCTCTGACTTCACATAGGTTAAGAGGTGCTGTGTTATTTTCTTTTTGTGTAACTGCACTTTCATGCCACTCCTGTTTATGTAATATTTTTGTTGTGGAATTGTGTTTTAATTAACAATATTGTTCAGAAACTTACTGTCACCTATTGACAAGTTTTCTCATGTGATTTCTAAAGGAAATGGCAGAGGTTCTGGAATGTACCATAGCTCAAGCTGTGGAAAAAATGAATCCCGAAGAGAGGGATGAACTGAAAGTAACAGGTAAGAATGCAGATCTTTAAAAAATCTGGTTGGATGAAAGGGTTTCGTATGCTGTTTTTAGTAAGAAGTTTTCATATGTATGTATTTTCTTCTTGTTTTGTAATGGCAAAGTCAAATGTCATCAGTGCTCACTGTCATGCTTACATCAGTTAGCTGAGAAAGACCCAAACATGTTTCAGGTTTTAAAGCCGCTCATCATTTTTCTACTTTAATTTCCATCCCATTGGGACATTTAAAAAATATTTTGTGAATTTTTGACTTGGCTGTAGCAAATTATCACAGGTAATGCTACAGTGAAGAAAAAACATTGGAAGCACCTCTATTTGCATTATTGTGCCAGGTCAAATGTGATGAACTTGGAGGAAGTCCAAAGTAACACTAGTACATCCCAAGGCTCAGTAAGTTCTGAAGAAATCTTTGTACAGCTGTCCTAGCTTTACAGCTTACTGCACCATCTAATTGAATCAATTCTTATTCTCAGACTGTACAACTCTCAAATTTAAGAGACCAGTGTTTTTGGGCAGTTATGTTCCAGATTTTCTTTGAATTTTTGAACTGATGAATACTCTTAAAAGTTCTTACCAAGAGGTCTTAAATAGTTATTTACTATTGCTGTATACACTATATATTTAGTAATTGCTGGTATGTTCAGCTATTGATTTGTTTCTTTGAAAACAGCAAAACTTTTCATTGTTGGATCAAACTCTTCATCAATCAGAGATGCAGTTGACATGGGTAAGTGTGAAACTTGAAGGCTTTCTTATTTCTTCTACTTCAGTATTTAGATCTAAAATTAGAACATTTTTTCTACTGGAGACGTATTTAATGACTGTCACAAGTATATGCTCTGTTCTTTTAAAGAGAAGCATAAGTAGTCAAGTATAATTTATGCATTATTTCAGTCAGTAAACTTAGCAAATGTGCATCCCTGTAAAAACTCGAGTCTGATTCTTTGCTCCACGCAGAGAAGTTTTTATTCTTTCACACAGATGTTATTAAATAGTGAGAAGCATGTGGTGTTTTTGTAACAGTGATACGGTAAGTTTTTACCAGTTTAAAAAAAAAAGGCAACTAACAACACTATGAATTTCACTGTTAACTGATATTTTAGATCTGTAAGTTTGATTCTTGGTTAAAGAAATTGTGTTGTTGTGTTTGGCTTCTGATAGAGAATTCTCAAATGGTGAACTGGAAGCAGTGAAGCAGGAGCTGTGTTTTTGCTGGATTTGAGATGTGATGCTGCTTATGTTCTTACCTCACAAAAAAAAATGCTGTCTTTATTTTTCAGCGTGTTCTTCCCTTGGAGTTGCTCAGTTAGATTCGGTCATTATTGCTCCACCTCCTATTGAAGATGGAACTAACCTCTCCTTGGAGTATCTGCAACCTTATTGGCAAGAACTTGAAACTCTAGTTGAAAACAAAAAGATTGTTGCCATAGGCACCTCTGACCTTGATAAAACACTTCTAGAGCAGCTGTATGTATGGGCACAGGTGAGAACAAACTTCCTAATTGCAGCATTTCTAAGGCAGAATTTTGTTGATTGCCATGTTATAATAATTTAGTGTATATGATTTGTTATAATAGTTTAAAAAAAGAAAATGGCTCCAGTTATTTTCAGCATCTTACTGACTGTCATAATATTGTTCAACGTGGGGAATGCTCAAGATGTGATTGTCACTTGTTCAGTGTTTTTCTAAACAGGTCCCTGAGGACTGTAGGCCATGGGTCTGTTCAGTAGTAGATTCTTTAAGAAGTCAGGGGCTTAGTTTTGAACATTCTTACGAACAGGACCATAAAAAGTACTCTTAAACCTTAAAGTTTATTGTAGTGATGTTTTGATTATAGCTAGTTGGACTTCAAAGAATGGAGGGGTTTCCCTTTGGAAAATGCTTCTTGAATGCTAAACATAAACAGAAAGAGGAAGAGAGACTGAATCAAGCAACATAATGTTTGCTTGTTCAGTATGACTAATTGCCTTGTCATACTTGAGTGCCAGAGGTCTGTACTAGCATCTGACCATGCTTTGGAAGCTTAGGGATTTACTGTTTCTATATCAGTTCTTTGAACACTGCTCTTGCACTTCTTTTGTGATATGTGAACATACTGCATCTGTGTAAGAAGTCCTGCTGTGAGTCCTGTTTTATACTCCTTGCTCTGTTATATATTGAGACAGTTCAGGGAATTGATAACCATCTGCATGGTGATCAGGGATGTAGATTGTGGTGATCAGTCAGTGGGAAGTCCCTTTTAACTTGATATGTTTTTATTTGAATATATGAAAAACTGCAAAGTATATATCCTTAATAAACCTGAATTTTGAGATCTTTTTCAAAGTAACACCCCTATAATATTCTCCCTGCAGAGAGGGGGTAGAAATGCTCTAGTACTTAGGGAGCACAATAGACAGGAAGCCATGATGGGTTAGAATGTGCCTCACTGTGATAGTACCTAAAGTGAGATCCCATGCTTGTTTTGTGCCCCATGCTGCAGGAAGTTGCAGGTGTTGGAGTTGGTTGTTGAGCGACACATGAAACTTTTGTCCTTGCTCAGGTCTCACAACAGTGGTCAAGGCAGATTGGTCCAAGCATTATATTAGCAGATGTAAGTGCAAAGAATGACAATGTTTCTTTCTTAAAAAAGCATTCTGTTACTTTCAGGTGAAACCAAGTAGCAATCAGGTGAACCTAGCTTCCTGTTGTGTGATGCCGCCTGATCTCACAGCATTTGCAAAACAGTTTGACATACAGCTGCTAACTCACAATGACCCGAAAGGTAAGACTTTGCAAGACAGCGTAACAGTTCTGCAATGTTCAGATGTGTAATGGTAGCCAAAGGCTTCTACATGCCCATATTCAGTACAGAATTAGGAATGATCTTTCTCTGCACTTCAAACTTCATTACATTTAATTCCTGAACAAAGAACTTTAGAAAGTTCATCTCTACAAAATATTTGTACTGTGTTCTTGCTTTCCCTTCCAGAAAAGGGAGGGAGAGAGGGTGCAAAGGGATCAAGTCTTCCACCATGGGTTAGTCTTTTGAAATAGTTTTAATTGGCAAAAACAATGTAAATATAAGAACAAAGTACTGAATTTTTCTTTACTATGCTTCATTCAAAAATAACTTATTTCTATAAATCACAAACTCGTTTTGTTCTTGGTGAAGGACAGTAAGTGACAAATGGAAGTCCACTTGCCCAGAATCTTTCTGCGGAGTATCTTGCGTGAGAGTGTTGATGGTCAGTTGATCTTTGCAGAATGTTAGAAACAGGAAATTTATTATACTTCATGATGGATTCTTTCATTTGTGATGACTTTCACAAACTCTTTTTGTAACTGTTTGAATTCTTCAGTTGTTTAGAACAGTTTATAAAATGGCTGAAGGACTTTAAGACTTTCTGTATTCTCTAGAACTCTGAGCTATTAGCTCACTAGAATATACCTGAATATTGAATTCATTTCTCTCAAAACTCATCAGATGATCTTTGCTGTAATGATACCTTAAATATCTTGCTGGAACTGTAAGCCTGAAGTCTTAAACAATACTTTGTTCATTCCTTCCTTCCTTTTTCTTCATGATCAACAGCTCACAGTGATCATATTTTTCCTTTTTCTCCTTTCCTCCCTTTCCCCCTTAAGTTTAAAAAAAAAAAAAAAAGACCAGCCCTGTATGAAATGCTATCTAATCACCATGCTTTATAGTATCACCGTCAGAACCAATGAATTATATCAGTGCTTGAGTATCAGTTCCACCCTAGCAAGCTACAAGATGAATTGCCATTCAATGTGGCAAGTTCCATGTCCAAAACACAACCTGTGATTCAATAGCTAATCTCAGTCAAGAGCCATGAAATGAAGAGAATTTTGATTGAAAATAAGGCAAAGAGACAGTTTCTTATGCATTATTTGCAAGGCCTGGTTTTTCTGTCTTGGTCAGCTGAAAAGTCTTGAGACTATCTTTTGGGAATGCTCCTCATCAGACCGTTGCTTTGACTGACTTTCCAGAGGAAGCTAGGAGAATTTGTATTTTCCTGCTCATCCTGCTTTGTAGCAATTATCCCTGTTTTCCTTGATGCTTTCTGAGCTTATACCCCTGAGTCCCATTATGGGAGATGCTATAAAGGCTGAGCTTCCTGTGGCTGCAAAAGGAACTCTGCTGCTGCTCAGTACTTTGCTGATTTCAGCCTTATGCTTTACTGCCCTCTGATTTGTCTAGCTAGTGTCTCGACTTTAATTTTTGCTTTTTCTTGATAATAGCTCTGCTGATCAGCTCCATTAGATGTGGTGGAATTTTCTGTTTATTGGTTCAATGGAAAATAATGTTTGTTGAAAGGGAAAAACTGTCCTGAAGATTTCTTCTGAAATGTTGAATGGAATTTCCTTTGCATGTATTCGGAAGGAGTGGAGTACCTGACACTGCTGAAGGTTTTCACTGTAGGCAAAAGATTCTCTTACTAAGTGTTGCTTTTTGCAGCTGTTTATCTGGCATTATTTAAAGCTTGAATCTTCCTTTTTAACTTTAGAATTACTTTGTGAAGCAAGTTTTCAAGAAGTTCTTCAGGAAAGCATCCAGAACGTCAAAGCACGCGAATGGATTCCTTTATGGATTCTGCGGTATTCAGTCATTGTTAAAAGCAGAGGAATTATCAAGTCCAAAGGCTATATCATGCAAGCTAAAAGAAATGCCTCTTAAAACACTTCATCTTTTTTTATTCTTTGAAATGGCCTACTGTTTTAATTTCTGGGGGATGGGAGGAACATGCCTTTTTCATAGAGAGACTTTTACATCATTTATAACAAAGACCAAAAGTTGTAATTATTGAGTATGATGTCAGAAGGAGCATCTGCAGTGTTCTAATGATATATTTTTTAATGTACTGAGCAGTTCATTAAAAATGTTTTGGTTTTACTGTTGAAATGATCTATAAAGAAAGAGCTTAAAATATTTCTTTTTATGACCAGTTCACTGTAGGAGTTCTGATTATATTTTAGCTACCACTAGGCAGTATAGAGAAACATATATTTTTAAATTTAATTTCTCTTTAATATTTACTAATCTGGTAGGTACATAGATTTCAAACATTCAAGGACTGATTTTTATAGAAAATTGTCATCTTTCATGGAAAAAATATTCTAAATAAACTATCTTTACTTCCTATGTATATAGGCAAATTAGTTTAATTTGTGTGGATGGGAAAAATTGGTTTATTTTTAATATCATGTTTAAAACAAAAAAGCAATCCTCTGATTTAGAAAAGATGCATCTTCCAAATTGCTTTACTGCTAATTACTTGAATTCCTTTCTTCCTGTCTTTTGTGCCTGTGTGCTTTTAGTACTTGACAAGTGATGGCATCTTTGCCATTTTAAGTAGAAAATGTTTCATTGTGTGTTTAAAATAAGAACTGGAAACGAATGATGATAAATGTGTTGATCAGAAATCAAATAGGACTTGGTTTGTCCTCAGCTGTGTGTGTTTGTTCTTCTAACATTTAGGAGCTATGCAATCTGAATCAGCCATGGCAAAAACAGTGGGAAATGTTCGGGCTGCTGACTGTGTGATCATGTAAAAGGGATGATAATTCTGAGGATTGCCTTGGAAACAGCCTTGCTTGGGTGCCATTCAGAAATAAAGGAGACAAAGATTGTCTTAGACTTAGATATCTTTCTGCTTGGCAGTAGCTTAATGCTCTGGCTTTGAAGTCTTAAGGAGAAATGGCTGCAGCTAAGGCTGGTTTAATGTGCTCTATTGGAAAGGCCTTTAAATTTCCTTGGCATTTAAATCAGAATAGATGGCAAAAAAAGCTCTGTCTGTTCAGCAGGGGCTCTAAGTGTCTAAACTCCAATGCTCATTTTCCTCTAGATTTCAGGTGGGAGTTGCTAGTACTTCTTACTAGTTCTAGTTACATTATTTGTACATATTTATTTTGCACTTTGGGCTGCGAGGAAACAAATTTCCACCATCTTTTAAATTCTATTGTGCTGGCAATGAGTGGAATCTGAGTGCTTGTAGGCACTGTGTGGAAATACCAGCTGGCTATGAACCATTCCACTGAGTTACAGGATGATTCTTTGAGATACCTTTGAGTTCATCACTATCTTACATGTATATGGCAAACCCTAGGAACATGTGGATTTCTACTACTGCTTCAGTTGTTTTGATTAACAAGAGGCAGAGAACTTGAACTAGTAATGCATCAATAAAATGTTCTGTTTTTTTTCCTCCTAAACAAAATATAGGATTTTTTTACGTTGGGTCAGTGTGCATCAGATCTGGAAAAGGAGGTGTTTCCTTTGTACCTTGTGTATGGCTCTGAGTTGTGTGCTGCTGCTGATTAACCACTCTGAACTGATTGCTGCCATTATTTGATTGCATGTGTGTTCTGTAAATGATTCCCTAAAATAAGAGCTGTGCTAAAACAATGTGCACGTTGCCCGTATGGTGTCATTATTTACTTTCCAGCTATCAACAAACTCTCTTGCTTTAGGAAAACGCCCTTTAAGACAGTCTTGTTTTTGTGATGTCCCTGATAGCAAAACGATTTATCAGCTTCTCAATGTTACTTTCGGTGCAGAAGGCTGAGAGGTGGCATTTCTTTCAGAGACGAATTAAAAACTGAAGTTCTTGTAGGTGTTGTATGAATTCTCATTGCCCTCCTTTTCCACCGTATCGGAGGCTTTGTGCAAACACGTGTATTTTAAGCTGAGCTCTCACCGTAGAATGGCGTTTATCGCCGCGCTGCGTGGTGCGATACGGGGAGGGGAAGAACAACAACAAAAAAAGAGCGCTGTCGCTACTCAAGAGGCGTCGTAGTTCGCGTTCCTCCCCCTCTCTGCTTTCACCTTTGCTCCAGACTTGGTTCTCGGGGCCTGCCTGCTCGCACCGGCCATTAAAACGAGCGGGATGTGAATGCGGGGAAGCTCGGGCCGCCTGAAGCGCCGTGCGTTGCGGCGGGCGGCAGAGAGCGAGCTGCGCCATCGCCGTTCCTTCCCCTTCCTTCCTCCGCCGCCCCCCCTCCCGGCCGTCTTTCCGCGCTGGGGCCGGAACTCCGCCGCGGCCCGCCGGACGCTGGGGGTGCCGCCCCGCGGAGCGCCGCCGGAAGGGCGGGCGGAAGGGGCGGGCGGCGGCGCGGCCCGCACCATGGTGGCCACCAGGCGGGCGGCGCGGCGGCGGGAGGCGGGGGCGGCGGCGGCCGGGGGCGCCGGGCCCGGCGGCGCGACGGAGGTGAGGGGGGCCGGGAGCGGGCGGGCCGCTGCCTGCAGCGCGGGGTGCCGGCGCGGGGCTGCGGCGGCCATCTTCCCTCTCGCGCGTCGGCGCGGGCGGCTCGGGAGCTGCGCGGCACGGGCGCGGGGCCCGGCACGGGGCCGCGGGGTCCCGCCGCGCTCCGGCCGTGCCGCCGCCCGCGGCGCCCGAGGTCCTCGTGTGCCGAGCGGCCGCGTGGCTGTTCGGGTTGGAGGCGAGGGCCGGCCTCGGGTCGGCTGGTTTTGTTCTTCCCGTTGCACGGCGGTTGCGTTAGCGCCGTTCTGAGGCCTTTTCGCAAGGTATGGAGCGAGTCGTGCGAACGCGGAGCGTTCAGGTGACGGGTTTTATGTCGATCCGGCTTTATTCCGTTAGGAAATACCTTGCAATCCGAGAATGCTCTTCCTGCAGCAGGGGAAGCGTTTCCACCATCTTGGTCCGCTTTGCAGGGTCACTTCCAAGCACTGGAGAAGCAGGCATTGCAGTTGCGGTGCAGACACCGTCCCTATGGCTGCTGGCACAGGCAGAGCTTTCAGGCGTGCCCTGCCTGTGGCTGGGCTGACACGCTGCATCGCTGAGCAATGTGTGCATGTTTCTGAATGTCTTCTCTGGACCTGCTTCCTGTGACAGCTTGCCAGAACTTATGGATTGAGGCAGAGTACCGATTTTATGTTCTTGATGTTATGGTTTTCTTTATTCTGTGATTTTGAACAAGAGACAATAAACAAATAATTAAGTAAGGGATGATATAGTAATGCTTCTTCCACATGGATGGGGCTCCTTGGAGATCTGTACCATGGTATCGGCACAATAAGGTTTGTGTAAGAAGGATTGTCAGGGATTTGTGTGCTGTGTCTTTTATGTAATTATTTTATCCTTTAATACCACATCTTGTTTTCCTCTTCTAGACAGTATCTGCTGAAATTGGTACTTCAGTATCTACAAGGATGTCCACAAGGAGTAAAGCAGTTTGTAAACCTGATGTAATTCGGGAATCTCAGCTGGAAGAGGTGGACCATGCAGGAACAAAACCAGATGTCATTGATAGCACAGAGATGCAGATTAGTAGAAATGAGAATACAGCTGTTCATTCAGCACAATCATCTGCCGATCCACAGGCTGATGGAGATGTGTCAGAGGCAGAATCAAACTGCTCTGCTGTGTCTGGTCTTCAGACACCTCTGTTTATAAGAGTAACAAGAAGGCGACAAATTGTAGTTCCTTATCAACCAGCTTCTCCTTCCAAAAAAAGACATAACAGGACTGCTTTTCTAAACGAGTTAAGCAGAACTGTAGATGAAGATGATGTTTCTGAAGCTGAGTCTTCCTCCTCTGCTGTTTCTGATGTCCGGATGCCTAGTGTTACCAGAACTACAAGAAACAGGCAAAGCAGGAGAAAGTTGCAATCAGATCTAGTTTGTGAAGTCCAGAGTGAAGATATCTCTGATGCAGAGTCATGCTGTTTTCATATGGAGCCATCCATTGCTGCCAAACGAACTACTAGGAGCATGCGAATGAAACTGCAAGCAGAAAATACTCAGCATGCTGAGAAAGTAAACAAAATTGTTTCAAAACCTGAGAATGTAATTGAGGACACAGTTAATTCTGAGTCAGACCTAATTTCTGACTCTAGCCCTGCTGCAGAATGTAACACAGAAGTTGCTTCCTTTGTCACTGAGTGTAATAAAGAATCTGGTTCGCCTAAGAGCAAATGTTCTCCCAAATCTGCTAATGTAATCCTAAGTGAAGATGTGAAACAGAACTTTTTGAATGATATGGCACCCAGTAGTCCTAAAAAAATGGAAGAAAAAAGTACTACTGAATCACCAGTAAAAAAAGCATTAACAGATACTCTGGTTGTTGGGGTAGATGATTCAGAGGAAGAAAGTGGCCAGATGCAGGAAGAGCGCAGTAAAGTACCCAGAAAGGTGACATTGAAGAATATGGATGTTTGTTTGATGGACTGCATGAGTCCCAAACTGTTTTTAGAATCCCCAGGGAAAATAACACCAAATGAAAATGAAGCTGTGCCAGGAAACAGAAGACTAGATGCTGAAGCAGATGTTCAGAGACCTTCCACCCATGCCTGTGAATTAAGAAAGGGTGAACAATCTAGTGCAGTGAGCAGCTCAGGGAAGGATGTGTCTGTTGCACAAATGACTGATAGCATAGTTAGTAGCTGTAGAATGGTTGGAATCAGTGTAGACAGCAGTGAAGACCAAACAAGAGAACGTGCTGAATTTGTATCCTGCAGCAGCGAAAGATCCAGTGATGAAAATGATTCCTTTGCATTGTTACTGAGCAAAGATGGAAGTGGTGAATCTGAGAACTGTGATGCGACAGAAGAGAATCTGAGTGACACAGAGGCAGAAGAGAGGACTCCTTCTGTGAACAAATCTTTAGAAAAGAATTCACTGCACGTTGAAGGGCTTTTTGTAATTGATACTGAGCCTGGCATGGGTTCCAGCCAAAAGTATTACCTAGATCAGGTAGACCATGGTAGTGATATTGAAAGTAAGCATGAAGGGAGTGAAAAAGTTGAAGAATCCTCAGATCTAGAGGAGGCTGAAGAGGAACTAATAGATGAAGATGAGAAAGATGAAGATGATGACTTGATGAAAAATAAAATTGATGTGTAAGTATCTTTCCAGGAATAACTAAAAAAACATACATTGCATTAGATATATGCATCAGATATGCATGCTACACACTAAACGGCACAGAATAAAAGGGAGTAGTGTTGTCACAGATTTGGAAAATTGAGTTGTTCTGATTATCACGTAGAATTGTAATTCATTTATTTTTTTCAGTTTTACATGTAGCAGAACAGAAATATCTGAAATACGTAGGCATCTTGAGGCCTTGTATGCATTCAGCTTAAAAATGAAATGTGAAACTGGTTTAAACTGGTCAGGCTGACTTAATTGCTTACTCGGGTCACAGTTTTCTTGCTAATCTTTTATTTTTATATTACTTTTAGTTCAAATGTAAATAATAGAAATCCAGTAGATGACTTACACATTGCTTAGTTAGATCATCCTTTTTAATCCGTAAAAGTTGCTCTTATGTTCATGGTTTAAAAGAAAGTTTATCTGTCTAAGCATTCTAGCTATCTGATACACCTGTTTAAATATCATCATATTTTTCCATAGTACTTGATAGGTGCCATGCGTTCTTCTTATTTGAAGGCTCTTTTTGAGTCAGCCATCATATATTGTTTAATAGCGTAGTTCCTAGCTCTGTTGTACAATTACTTGTCATTCCAGACAACGTTTCTCTGATGAATTCTGGTACCTTCATATTTTTCACTAAGAGCTGAAAATAATTTCAGGCTCTTTTTTTTTTTTTTTTTTTTTTTACCCCTCCTCTTCAGCTAGCAAGCTTTTAAATGTGTAGAAGGAGGACGCTGGTTATAAGTTATTTTGGCATGGTTAAGCAAACTAAGAACTAAATTTTATGGAGGATAAAAATATCTAAGATAGAATAGAGCATTGGAGTAAATGTGAAGGATCTGTGGAAGTGAACGCACAGGAGTTGCTCTTTATCCAGTCCTCACTCTGTATAATGGCATCAGTGAACTTGTCACAGTTTAATGATGTATTTCTTCTAGATATTGAGACCTAAAAGTCTCTATAGTGCTGAACATAAGTTGGAAAAAGATGAAAAATATTTTTTTCTGTTTTTTCCTCTCACAGGGCATTATGAGATTTGATACAATTTTCTAATCATTTACTGTTTCCCTTTTTAGTTTGCATCTTTCCAGCAGCATAGACCCTGGTTTGAATATCAGGAAGCTTGGAGGTTTATATATTAGCTTTGATGGAAAAAAACAAAAAGCTAGTTCAAGTGTAATTAAGCAACTGAAGGAAAAAAAGAAGGACCAGGTAATGTGTTTACAGTTTTGCAATTGCCTACAACTATGGTAATACGGAGTTGTTATTTTAAAGAAGTATCTTATTTTCTGCTTTGCTGAGAACTTGTACTTTTTTTGGCTAACATGTGTTAACAATTGGTTTCAATGGTTAGAATTCAAATACATATGATACTTCAGAAACTGAAAACCAGCTTGTATATGAGTGTTGTCTTGTAAAATAAGAAGTTAATTGTGCATACATTTTGCCTAATGGTACAAACTGAAGGTCTGCTAATGAGATCTGTAGTTCATAGCAAGAATGAATTTCAGCAAATACAGGTTTGTACCATACTAGTATGAGATAGTAGTTTTATTTCAGAATACCCTTTGAGATAAAGAAAGTCCATTGTTTTCATTGGGAGTGTTTTCTTAGACATCGACAATAACCCTCTTTATTCTGGAGCGTTTGCTGCCTTGCTTCTTCCAGAATTAACTGTTACTGGCCAGGGTTCTGCTCTGCCTATACGTTTTGAGTGTCTGTGCTTCTTTTGGTGGAGACTAAAGAGGGAGTTTGAACTGAAGTATTTTATTACAATGATTATGTAGATTCTGCATCATTCGTTTGGTATGCTCTGTAAATGCAGGTGAATGGTAAAACTGATATCTCTGACTGATGTTTAAAAAATAACTCTTGCAGCTCTTGCAGAAGAGTATAATAACCCCGGATTTTGAAAGAAAGGAATGTGTCCCACCCCTCAGGGAGTCGCTTCAGCAGCTAAAGAAACAGCGCAGAGTAAGTAAAGAGCCATAATGCCTCAGGTGACAAGAGAAGGTGCTCAGTAGAAAGCCCCACACTGGGACTGCGTACAGGGCTTGCAGGAAATGGAGTGATGAACTACAGTCTAGTTTATTCCTTGAGCCGTGCTGTTTATGGCCATCCTTTCAGCCTTTTAGTAATCAGGGCAGTGAAGGGCAATATAATATGTGCTCACATTATACAAATCTGTGGTTAATATAGTGCTGATGACCTTGTTAAAAGAGTCATCAAATATTTTTGAATGTACACAGTTAAGTTTTAAGTGCTTTATCAGTCCTTTGTAGGTAGAAGTGGGGGGGATCCCAACTGTATCCTGTCCTGGTAACTGAATGCAACTTTGTTTTTCTTGATAGGCAGAGCGAGAGAAGACAACAGGTGATGGCTGGTTTGGTATGAAAGCCCCAGAAATCACAAGTGAACTGAAAAATGATCTTAAGGTGTTGAAGATGAGAGCTTCTTTGGACCCCAAACATTTTTATAAGAAAAATGATAGAGATGGTCTGCCCAAATACTTCCAGGTAAGGAAAAAGCAAAAGAAGGCGCTGTACTACTTTCTGCCATTTTGAACTATTACTCTCAACCTACTTTCTAGATAGTCTCTATTTTTGTTGATTTAATTTCCTTAGCTAAATTAGTAAGTGTATTGAGTACAGTTGAGTTTACAACTGCTTAACTCTATTGTGTAGGTGTATATGCTATTTTTTATTTTGGCTGGTCTCACAGGCCTGAACAAGCGCGTGGCTTAATTCCTATTTTGAGCCTTCAGTGACTGGAGGTTCACTGTTTTTTAAAGTATTAGCTTTTTTAACAAGTGCATAGATAATTAGCATTTATTTTCTTCTTAGCTAATATAGTTTGAATGGAGACGACTAGTTTTGTGATCCGCTGGAATTTATGCTACTGTAGCTTTCATCTTTGAAATGCTTTGCATAAAGAAAACATGCAAGAAGAAGGAAAACAAAGAAAATTACTACAGAAACTGTAGAAGTAGATTTGGTTGTATGTACTTAAGTCTTTGAATAGTTAGTATTCTTGACATAATTGATTGCATCTCCACTTCTTGCTAAAGGATGAATTTTATTGCATGTATAAGACATTAAAATTACATCAGAACTTGCTAACATGCAAACTGGGAGAAACGGGAGGCTCTATAGCCAGAAGTCCTTATTAGACCTGGGTTATTGAGAGTCTAGCAGTGTAACTACTAGACAGTCATCGCTCGTGGGGTTTCCTCCTTGGGACAATGTTTGAAACTTAAGAACTGAATTTTTTTAGTGAATGTAAGAATTGATGCAGTAGTCTAATGTTGAAAATTGTGCAGTTCTAAAGCTCAGACTCTCCTGTATGCAGTAAATGTGAGACAAAAAGCAATTTTGCATGCAAAACATAGTTTTTGTTTTCTGATATTTTGTGCTTTTTTTTAATAATATCATTTTGATCTTCTCTGTGTCTTTAGAATTGTAACTAAAGATTAAAAAAAAAATCCACATATTGCTATTACAGTAAGAATGCTCATAATTTTTATTTCCTAGGTTGGAACTGTGCTTGATTCTCCCATAGACTTTTACCATAGTCGAATTCCTAAGAAACAGAGGAAGAAAACAATTGTTGAAGAGCTGCTTGCGGATTCTGAGTTTAGAAGGTATTTAAAATTTTTGTAATTCTAATACCACATGTAAGAGAGGTGTATTTTTAACTATATAACTCTCCTATCATTTCTGATCAGCTTAAATGTTTTTCAAGTTCAAATAAAAAACGTAGTCTGTTTTAGCACTGCAATTGAGAAGATGAAGGGACATATTTTTTATCATCATAAAAGGGTTTGATCCAACTCAGGCATCATCACTATTGACAGTCTCTCTTAAAATAGTCAGCATTGGAAAGAAAACACTCAGACTTGTTCTGGTTTCCTTATTAACTGTCCATGCAGGCAGGTGCCAGAAACCTGAACCAGTGCTTTATGCATATGCATCAACATTTTTGTTGTTTGTTTGTTTAAAGACTGATTAACTGTTCTTGGTGTAAACTGTAGAAAAGTTCTGGCTATAATTCTGTAGGAGTTGTTGGTGGGATTTCATTTCATGAGCACATCAGTCTGCCAGCTGTCACAGGAGTTAAAACTATACAGTATGATTGGATGAATTCATGTCTGCCTCACTGCCAGATTTCTTCAAGCGATCCCTGAGTTGGTCCAGTTGCATATTGGTTATTACATGATGCTAACGTGCATTTCTCATTTTCACCATAATGACATGTTTTCTTGGAAATAATACGTGATTTGTCTAATAAGGTGGCCATTAATGGGCTTGTAGTTTCATTTTTAACGGAAGTTAATATGGCTACTTCTTAACTTTAGTTTTGTGGCTTGACTGATTCATAAGGAATTATTAGGAGCAGTGTTAAAAAAAAAAAAAAGAATGCGTCTGAAATTTGATCAATTAATTTCTGTTATGACTAGTTAAGGCTTTAACTAGTGATTTTAGTGTTAGTGCAAATTTTTTGAGTTTACTCTTGCAATTAAGTGTTAGCACTACTAACTGTGCAATGATCCATTATGATAGGTACATAAAAACCCCTTATATTAGAGGAGCTAGCTGCTCGTATGCAATACATACATCCTGTTCTATGTTAGTCTCACCTCCGTCTCCGGTCTTGAATAGAGTAATGTTGATAGTAAGTTCACTGAGAGAAATGGGTTTGTTCTCCATTGCATTGTCAAAATTGATGAATCTTCCCATTGTGAACTGTCCACAAAAAGAGCAGCTTTTTAGCATGCTGTCCAAAATGTGATTTATATATGCCATGAAAAACCAGCGATTATATCAGAGTTATTGAGTTTTCAATCAAATTATTTCCAAAACAAATTCACCTGCATTTATCTGTAATCCAAGTGTCAATATCCTTTGATCTATGCATAAGTGTCCATATTATCTTTTCCTGAACTTTGATTTCCCATGCTTAAAAGTAAATTGTCTATTTTGTTCAGATATAATAAAAGGAAGTATCAGGAGATCATGAGTGAAAAAGCAGCTTATGCAGCAGGGAAGAAGAATCGGAAGAAGAAGAAATTTCACAATTAAGACTTGAAGAAAAATAACAAGCTGGAACTACTTATTTGTCATAAATCTTTTCTCAGACTGCTTTGATTTGTGGTGTGATTTTTTTTTTTTTATTTTTTTTTATTTTTTTATTTTAAAACTAAGGGTGATGTAAATTGAGAGTTAAGGAATTTATTGCAGTAGGAATTTGGTAGAAGCTTTATCAAATTAATCAGATATCTAAAATTGTGTTTATATGAAAGACTGATGAAAATTAATGTTTATTTTAAAAGTTAACGATTTGAAAGCATGTTGTTTAATCTGAGCACAACATCCAACTTTATGGGTTACGGCCTGATCAGTTTTCAGTCTTAACATGAATGAATTAGCAAATTTAGTTTTAAGATAGGTGCGTAGTTCACTTTGGCACCTGTTATGTATTACAGAAAATTTTACCACATCTTATCAGAATGCTGCTGGCCAAGTTTGTAACAGGGTGTTGAGTATTAGCTTGGTTGTAGAGAGTTTATTTCATTGTAGAGAGTTTATTTCAACAGTGAACATAGCAGAGCTGAGAATGTCCCAGAATTCAGCATAAATGCATATACTTACATGCATACACATATATAAATAATATATATAAATTATAAAATAAATAACATTTATTAATAAATTGATAAATATATGCAATAAATAATGTGTATTCATACATAAAAATTTAATATCCAGTCTTACATCACTTAAGCCTTACCATATGATTGTTTAATGATTTTAGTGACAATAATTCAGTAGTTGGGTCCATTTCTAGAGTACAGTATCCAGACTGATCTGATAGCTGTTGGAATAGTTCTTCAGGAAAATGAATATGGTGAGTTTGGTAGAACTAAAGACAGTATCAGTTCAGTTTCTTTTCTGTGTCAGTTCATAACTTCTTGTGACTGCTAAATGTTGTGCTGTTTGTTTGCTTTTTAATGACCTTGTTCTTGCATTGCTGTTTCAGTTAGTACAACTCAGTTACTGTCCTTAGATAGCAGAAACTAAAAGAGGGAGAACTATCGCTGCGTTATCTTGGATGAACTGAGTGAGGCAAACTTAGACAAGGTTATCAAAAGTCCAGCAGTGTTCATTGTTTTATTATAAGAAGAATGAATTTCAGAGGTTGCAGATTTTACACAAGAAGGATGTTCTTGACCAGTGTTTAACCATATAATTTTTCACTCTGCAGAGTAAGTAGTTGGGGGGTGGGGTGTTCGTTCAACGGTCAGCAGTTTGTGCTGGAGAGAGATGAAATTGGCATATATTGATCACCAGCTGAAGTTCGAGAGAAAATTTCCCATGATCGTGTAGATTTTCTTGTATTTCTCTGAAGCTAATCGTAAATCCTTAATCATGCTGTCAAACACAGGTGGGAATCTGGATTTTTATAAGTCCTTAGTTGCCTGGAGATAAATTGTGCACAAAGTGAAGTGAATTTGTTGGAAGTGTTGAACACATAAGAAGTAGAACCACCTGGCCCCAAGTCTTAACTAATGCATAGATATTTCAATACAGTCATGTGTGCTACAGTCTTGAACCTGTAAATGATAAACCAATAAAAACAACTATGGTGTCTTGTTCTCTGGATGGGAAATGGAAGAAGAAAAAAAGGAATACTGAACACTGAGGAAAGAAAACAAGCCACCACAGTAGTTGTCATTTTGTTGCATCCCTAACTTCAGGAAAGCAATGTACTGCTCTGAAAGACCTTCAGAAAGAGAAGTGAGCTTTGGTTGTACGCTGCAAGCAACAGCTTCGTGTCTGTTGCTCAGTCTGCTCAATAGCTTACTGCAGATCTTAAAACAATTTATGTTCAACGTTGCTAGTGAGGGATTTTTATGTTCTGTATCCTTCCCGTTCCTTCAGATGTTCTAACATCTGTTGTGCCACGTGCTGTGCCCAGCATGTGCCTGCGTTCTCTGTGAGCAAGAGGTGAGTTGAGCTGGCCAGCGTGTGCAGTGGTTGCCTGCTTGCTGTCAGTCGTTGCCCCAGCTTGCACTTCATCCTCTTTCAGGGAGAGTGTTGGTGGTGTGTTGTCTCCCAGCTACTGATTTCGTAGAAGTATAGGAACATAATGCTTCAGGCTACCCTTAATTGAATTTGTTTACAAGTGACAAATTTTAAGTTGCTGGGGAAAAAAAAAGATTGCATAAACTTATGTCTCTGACAATACTAAAAAAAAAAAAAAAAAAAAAAATTGTGAAACATTGATGTAGTTTGAGAAACTATTTGCTTACAAATTACAAGTATTTTCTTGTAACTGCTGTCAGAAATACTTGCATTTTATTGATATAAAATGTCACTGACAATTCTCCCTGGGGATTAAAGAGCAATTGGAATGTTTATAGGTCTATGTATGCAATGACAGCTGTTTTGGATGTCACTGGGATGTTGTGTGTGGATAGAATTCCTTTCTGCTTCACGCTCCCCTGGCTGAGCCTGTGTTTCCCATGGCCTTGGGCAGAGAGCAGCTGAAGTTGCTGCTGCAGCTAGCTCAGTCTGTCTGCTGGGTGCTGCAGCTGGGGCTGTCTGGGGTCCAGAGGGCTTAGGCTGAGGTGACAGAGCTGTTGTTATTGGTGCGGTACCACCACTAGACATGCTTTGTCTGCATGCAGAAGTAAAACTTACCGTTTTTCTTTGCTGTGCTCAGTGCTCACGTGTCTTCCATTCTTTGGGATAACCTCCGTGTATCAACTTAGTCTCCTTAGGACTGAAGCTTTCTAATGGTCTGTCCCATTTATATTGCTTGTTGCAATTCTCGTATTCCAACTGATTCTCTTACTGCGTTCAGACAGTGAGTGTATTGCCTTAGCATTCCTCAGAGCACGCTTTGCCCACACGTCTCGCAGAATGTGTCCCTGTGCTGCTGCTCTACCCCGTGTGCTAATATCCAGGAGCTCCCTGCTTCTTCGGCATGCAGTTCTGTCTGTTAGGCTTTTGTCACGTAGTGGCACTTAAATATCGCTTCCAGTATGCAAAGGTGTGTATGTAAAAGCCTCCACCTTCCATTTTTTTGCTGGGAACAGGGCAAGTTGGATGAGACTGTCCTTAAATAAGAAAAGTGGACAGGAATAGCATTGAGGTTTGCTGGCGGTGACTGAACAGGGAGGAGGGCTTTGCTGTCTCGCTGGTGTTGCTGCTTGGTATGGGATTCATGTTGGAGATCAGTGATGGCTGTTTGTTGTAGGTTCTGGCAAAATCGAATGTTTCTGCAAAAGGCTGCATGTATTCTGTAGCTAGGGAACATTCCAGAACCGGTGTCTGCTGTAAATCAGCAACGGTTAATGTTATTAATAGCATGCTTTTCACTTTGAATAAGAGGCCAGAGGCACATATGCAGGATAGGAATGCATTTTTAATATTTCTCAAATATACTAACATGAATCAAATCACGAATGTTTTTATCAGCCACGAATACATCGTACGCGTATTTCAGTCGAATACAGTCAAGGTTGGTTTGCTGCTGCTGTCGGCTGTTTCCTGCCCACGCTTTCCATTCATTTTTCTGCTGTTACTGAAATGGCCCTTTATTTAGAGGGTAGGTGTAGGTTTGATTAATTCAGGCGTTCAGTGCTGTGGGCGAGCAGTGCTTGGATTGCTGTGCAAAACTGCTTTCTGAAAGCTGTTCTGGAAACGTAGTAGCTTACGGTGGTTTGCCAAAGATGGTGCTGTTGTAGAGGTTTGCTTGGTGGCTTGCTTTTTACTTTCTTTTTTCATACCCGCTCTTTGCACGAGCAATCCAAGGGGGGCTGCGCGCTGCCGCTCCTCAGCATCTGCACGGCCGGCCGCTGCTTCTGCCCGCGCGCCTCGCGGCTCCGTTGTCGCGCGCCGCCGACCGTTGGTGGCCGCGCGCCCGCCGACGAACGGATGAGGGAGGAGGAGATCGGCGGTCGCCGCGGCGTCGGTGTGCGGCAACTCTCCGTTTGCTGCCGGTGAAGCACTTCAGTGCGTCGCTCCTTCTCGGCGGAGGCTCGAGTCCAGACGGCTGCCGCCGCTGTCTCCGCCCGTTCCCAGCCTTCCCCGCTCCGCCAGGCACGTCGGGAGGCGGCCCCGGAAAGGTCCGCCGGGCAGCGGCAGGTAGGCACACCCGGTTACTGCTGGGGTGGGGGGAGGGACGGAGGAGAGAGGTAAAAAGTTGAGGTGGGAAAAGGGAGGAAAGAAAAAGCAGCATGAAAAGAGAAGCTACGACTCCGCCGGGACTCGAACCCGGAACCTTTGAATCCCTTCAACCCTCTAGAAGTCCAATGCGCTATCCATTGCGCCACGGAGCCACCTGTTGGATTCCTCGCGCACCGCCTATGGAGCCTGCGCGCGGCGGCACGGGCGGCAGCGCGGAGGGAGCGGCAGGGCTGGGCGCGCCCCGCCTCGGGCGCGTTCTGTTCCGCGCGGTAGTGATGGTACTCGTGCGATGGTTCTTGTGCAGGGAGCCCCAGCTGCGCTGTCCTTGCCCAGGCAGTGAGGCTGCCAGACCCCGGGTGGCACAGAGCTCGGGTCGCGGCTGGAGGCAGAACTGCTCTATTGTACCTCAGCCGGTGTTGCACGGGACACCGCTTTTGTTTGAGTCTCACATTTTGTGTAACAGTAATTAAAAAGTTTCAGTGTCTAAAATGTGAGGAACCAGGAAGCAAATGAAATTGGTGTAGAATAAGCTCATTATGATACGTGCTTCTTTTGCCGTAGCATCAAGGGCTGAGGTACCCTGTGAAACACAACCACGGGGACGCAGGCAGTGAGGCACTGTGCGCTGTGCCCCACTGCTGCCCTAGAGTCAGCCGGTGTACCTGCGGGCAGCGGTGAGCCAGCGCTGTTATGGACTGGCTGGTTTTCACACTGCTTCTGCTCGGAGTGAGGGGATGACAGAAAGGTCTTGGTTTTTGAAGCACGATGTTGGAGTTACAGCCCTCAGGGTAATAAAGTCTGATAATCGTAGAATCTTAGAATTGGAAGGGACCTTTAAAGGCCATCTGGTCCAAAGAAGCCAACAGACCATCTACGAGTCAAAGCTGTACAAGAGTCAGAGGAGGTCTGACTGGATTTACAGGCTCTAGGTCTGTGCAGTCTTGCCACAACTG